ATTTTCACGATGAACAGCAGATATGAAATCGCCGGACATCACCATGGGCCTGCCGTCGCCTCAGGCGAACAACCACCACACCGCCGCCGCGGGTGGCGGAGCCGAGGACGCAGAGTGCGTCGTCCGCGAGCAAGACCGGTTCATGCCGATAGCAAACGTGATCAGAATCATGCGCAAGATCCTTCCGCCGCATGCGAAGATTTCGGACGACGCAAAGGAGACGATACAGGAATGCGTGTCGGAGTACATCAGCTTCATCACCAGCGAAGCCAACGACCGCTGCCAGCGCGAGCAGAGGAAGACCATCACGGCCGAGGACGTCCTGTGGGCCATGAGCAAGCTCGGCTTCGACGACTACATCGAGCCCCTCACCGTCTACCTCCACCGCTACCGCGAGTTCGACGGCGGCGAGCGCGGCTCCCTGAGGGGTGAGCCGCTGGTCAAGAGGGTGCTCGACCACGGCGGAGGCCCCATGGGGTTTCCTGGGGGTTATCCGGCAGCGGCAGCTTTTCATCACATGGCGGCACACCACCATCATCATGGCTTCTTTGGAGCTGCTCCGCCGATGAACTTCTTCAAGGATCCGACCAATGCTGGGCCGTCACAGGCTGCTGTTGCTTGCGTTGATCCATACCCGCAGTGTAAGGAGCAGTTGTAGAAGTTGATTAGGTTTTCATCATCGCAGCGTTTTTAATGCTGCTTGCTTTCCTAGGTTTTCATCAAGTGTAACAGTAAACAAAGATTGTGTAGCTTAATCAAACTTATGTTTAATTTGCATTTCCAAAATTTCGACTGTCTTTTCCTGCAAATTTGAGTATACGGAGGAATAGAAATGGCGAAAATACGTAAAACGCAAATCATGATGAATTGATCAGTTCATCAGAAGTTTGGACCAAAGTTAGCAACTTTAAACAAAATTTGTTTATCGAAAAAAAATTAAGGTCAAATCTGTGTTGTTTCAGTGCACTGCCTTTTTGTCTTTTGACCATCTATCTCTACACAGTCTTCCACTTTTACCCCTGCTGCTACATTTTGACCATCTTCACTATCTGCCTCTTCTTGCCCTCCACACATTTGTTCATCATCCTCTTCACTAACACCACCACCTTCCCTCTCATCTTTTTTGTCATTGCCTTCAGCTTCACATCTTTTCCTTTGAGGAATCACCTGAAAAAATGCATCTTTCCAGTCTCTTGTTTCCAAGTACTTTAGCAGTATCTCGACAACTTGATTCACAGTAAGTACCTGCAATATTTATCGTCTCGTATCCATCAATCAAGCCTTCCGTTTTTGCAAATGAAAAGATTTAGCATTGTCTTTAAAATGGAGAAAAAAAACGAAGCTTGTTGATGAAAAAAGAACAGACCTGAGAACTGGACATCTTTAGGTAAGTTCCAATTGGCAGTTTGGCAGTTTTAATCCCTTGCTCTTCGGCTTTCTTCATCGTAATGCCTTTCCAACGGTTCCTGTCCACCAAACCGCCAATGATATATATAGCTTTTGGATCGAGTTCATCCAGAACGTTTTCAGAGTCGGCTGTGAGGTACACCAACTTTTCTTTCTGATCTTGAAAAGCTTCTATATAGGATCCATCCTCCTTCTCCATTACCCACTTATCATATCCCGGGATCCTTAGAAGCTGACTGTGCATTTCTCCCTGACAGCCTGTCAGCCAGAGATGGGCCGGCAAGTCACATCTTCCGTTTATCGCATAGCAATACATAACCTGCACGTTACATGAACAGTAACTAGCTCAGTATTGGTTGGCTCTGTGAGAAGCTAATGGCAAATATGTCAATCCAAAAACACAGGCTCACAACAGAGAATGCTACGGGAACCTATTCTTTGTGGATTACAACACAGCATGCCGTAAAATTGAAAGCAAAATGCAAGTATGTAACCGGACAGAGGAAGTTTCCTGAGATTGTTTTTTGGGAATCGATGAAATATCCAAGCTATCAAAACTCATAAGTATGCAAGACAACAGAAACTTTCACTGCCAATAATTTGCGAATACGGAGATTTTATGTCGTAAGTTTTCCTTCGATTCCCAAAACTAAATATGCTTTCGATATTATTGGTAATATACCTAATGGCAGCTAGGTATGAACACTTTCAACATCTGCAAGTTCATTATTGTTCTACATGATTTCAATTGTCTTTGTTACTAGAACAATGCTTGGATAAACAATGGAATAAAACAATGCTATACTCCGGTAAACTCAACCCCAAAACCCCCAAAAATGTTGTTTTCAAATTGAACAAAAATTACAGAGAAACCCTAGATAAGAGAAGGGAGAAGAAATGCCAAAGAGGAGACCTGTTGAACGAGGCTATGCAGTTCCGAAGGGCTCATGAGATGGGCGAATTCGAGATCGATAACAATATTCTGGCCACTGATTCTCGCTTCGTTCAGCCTCTCCATTTTCATCCCCTTTTCGACATTCCTCTGCTCCATACGCTCTTTCCTCATCTCTTTCCTCCCCTGAATCAGCTTTTCCTTCTCCTCCTCGCTCAAATTCGCCAGTTTCTCGTCCCATTCCTTCCGCTTGCGCTCGGCTTCCTTCTTCTTGTGCTCCTTCATCTGAGCCTTCTTCTCCGCCTTCTTCGCCTCGTACCGCTGCTGCTTGAGCAGCCGCTTCTTGGCGTTTTTCGACATGGTCTGCTCTGTGGCGGCGGCGGCGGTGGCGGTGCTTTCGTCATTCTGCAGCGACTCCACTGCTGTTTCCATCTCAGGAGAATTGGTCCGAGTGATTGGTTGTACGATAAGATGAACTGCTGAATGAAGAAAGGGTTTCGCCCGATGCTGCAGAGCGAAACGACGTCGTAATAACAAAGTTTTCCAGGTCTCGCTGAGAACCAATCGAAAGCCCGGCCCGGTATAGTAACACCAGCAAACCATACGACGCCTGTCGAGTTTCCTTTTTCTTTTTCTATTTTTTTTCTTCGATTACTATAAAAATAAACAAAAATAAAAATAAATAAGATAAACAAAAATATTGAGTACTACAGATTAATAATATGACATAGTGCCCCTCGAAATTATACTTAATACTGATTTGACCCCCATCTTTTTGTCAATGACATCTTTTCAACAATTTATTATTTCTTTCAACCAAAAAAATAAAATAAAAAAGTTATTGTTTGTAGTTCACTTAAAAACTTAATTACTTCGTTGATAAATAGCTACGTTTACTCGACTCATTAGAACATAATTGCAACAATAAAGTCCGACTATTCTTTTCAATGACGATGTATTATTTTTCAGAAATACAATTATATCGTAAGTAATGTAATTAATTTATCAATAGAACCAATTAACTGTATATAACGTTTTTCATTTGGTAACAAATTGTTTTATAGTATATTATATGGAGTTATTCAACCATGAGTTAATTTCAATATAACAGTCAATTAGAGTAAACATATTTTGTAATGAGATCGAACAAGTGTATGACATTTAAAAGATAATTAGAATCTAATTAGGTGCACTTCAATTATATTTCCAAATGCAACGTCTTTAGATTCATGGAATCTCATTACATAAAATTTTAAACTAATCATTATAAATGCTTAAAAACAACAATTGAAAAATAAACACACGGATATTGTTATAAAATTCGAAATGTGGAGACATGTAAATTTTTGTTATATTAAAAGGAAAAAAAATTATAATATGTTACTAAATTGGGTGAACTTTGATTGTATTGAATACAACTAGACAGATTCACAGAATCTCATCACCTACAATTTTAAATGAATCCTTACAAATGTCTAACAACTATCGATCGATACGAAGATAAACATGCAGATAATCCAGACACGGGTCAAATATAAATAACCACGTGTACTCAACATGCAAATATTGCAAATTAGGAGACCACGGCAGCAAAAAACCCAGTGCCCCAAAAAGTAAATCTGCAGTTGTGAAGGGCACGGGCGCTTATTTTCACTTGTTTAATTTAATTAATATTTTATTTTTTCCCCTAGCGAAGGAGCTATTTCTCGCTTCATTGTTCGAAACAACAAAAGAAGGAAAAAATTACAAAGAAGCCCCAAATTCAGAAACACCCCGAGAAAACACACACACACACGCAGTGAATGCTCCAGTTGAGAAATTTCCGCGCTCTCGTGTGAAGAAATTCGCTGAATTTTAGTTTCCATGGCCGAGGAGCTGGAGCAGAAGCTGAGAGCACTGGGATCGAACTTGGAGAGTCTCCCTGCTTCAAAAGACGCTCTCATTAAGCACTTGAAGGTGAGCGCCTCCTCGTTGTATGTCTTGTTTGCGTGTGAATTGTCTTCAGAAAAGAGTATTTTAGTGTTTACTAGTCAATTTGTGCTTCGTCTGGAAGTTCCTTCTTGATGCATGCTTGTAATTTTTGGAAGTTGTCGTTGTGTGTATAATTGGGGTTGAATTAGGGTTCATTTGAGGTGCTATTTTGGCTCTGTTATTTTGGTAACTAAGCAGAAAGTCCGGGGCTTTTTTTAATTTCAAAAGATTTGAAGTTTGTCAGAGTTGTGACGTATGATATTCGAAGCTTTTGGTGTCCTTGAATTCAATTTAAAGTTGCATGTGTCTGCATTGGCGTAAGTTTTAGCTTTCTGATAATTGGGATTGAATTAGGGCACACGGAAATATGAGGTACTCAAAATAATTATAATTAAATTTCCAAGAAGAATTTAGTTATTATCATCTCTCTTTAAATTGTTAGCTACAGTTTTCTCATGTAAGAAGTTAAGAGAAGTTTTTATTTTTATCTTATTTTTATTTTCATTTTTATTTTTATTTTATGGGGAAGTTCAATAAGTGTTTTCTTTGCCCACTACAGTATCGTAAAGGTTATTGACACAATATATGTTAGTATATAATATGCGAGAAAATATTTGATTATAGAGTTAGCTAATTAGCTCACTTTGATAAGCTTTTGGTATGTCATCTGTGTTTTGATATGTATCTATGGTTGTGTTGACATATAGGCATGGGTATATTGAGAAATAGGAAAATTAAAAGAACCTATTTCCGTAGGAGATTATATTAGAGCCCGTGCACTACAAGCATGTTAGTTTCGTCCCTCAATGTACCTAAGTGAACAAAAGGGACATCATGCTGGAATGCAATTTATCTATAATTACTCTCAGCACTTAGATTTGCTTTCTCCATCAAAGACCTCATACTTCTATCATTTACATCCAGAATAATAGGTATATTATTTTCTTTTGAAATTAGTTCATAGAACTGATGCTTCTGAACCCTATTTCTGTAGAAACATAAAGTTTATATTGAGCTTCTTTCCGCTATTCCACAAGTTTGGATTAAGATTGCTCTAGGGTTTTGAGAAGGAACTGAGCATTTCAAGGTAGCCTGGGAGAAATCCCAAGCCTAAAAGAATAAAAAAAAAGAATCCCTATATAATTCACTAGAAAAAGAATCCCCATATATTCACTAGAAAAAAGAAACTTGTTACTAGAATTTTGATTAAACTGTGTTATATATAGCCTGCTTAAGATATACTGGAAAGACATTGTTTTGTGTTGTTGGTTGTTATTTTTGGTCGTCAAAGTTCCTGCTGGTGTGTTATATGTATGTTATTGTGCTTCCTGTTTCAATAGAGATCCTGTTAGTATTATTCAAATATAATTTTTAGATATATTTTGAATGCTAGACGTTATTGGCTTTTGAAATTTTACCATGGTTTGGTCTAATGGAGTGAGATCCTGAAGTTTTGGTAGTTGCTTGGCATAAAGTTATCTGGACTCTCTACTGATAGCTTCTTAATACTGTGGAACTTTTCCTCCTCATGCAGCAAGGTTTGACATGCCTATCTGAATTAGATCAGTCACCACCAGAATCAGTGCTGCAGTCTATGCAGCCTTTCTTGAATGCAGTTGTCAAGCCAGAACTTTTGAAACATCATGATCGAGAGGTAAAGCTCTTCGTAGCTGCATGTATCTGTGAAATAACTCGAATTACTGCACCCGAGGCTCCTTTCGACGATGATGCATTAAAGGTACTTCTTTATCCTCAACAGCTAATAGCTAATGGAGATTGTACCAATTGATGCTTGGTTCCTCATCATGAATTTTATGATTATGGTTCTGATAATTGCTGTTTAATCTATTCCAGGATATCTTTCAGTTGATTGTGAGTACTTTCAGTGGCTTAAGTGATACAAACGGCCCATCATTTGGAAGGAGAGTTGTTATTCTTGAAACTTTGGCAAGATACAGGTCATGTGTTGTGATGCTGGATCTTGAATGTGATGATCTCATATGTGAAATGTTCAATACTTTCTTCGCTGTTGCAAGGTGCGGCCCTTTTGTTATTGAGCTATCTTTCATCAGCTGCAAAACATGTTTATTCATGTTTCATGCTAGATACTCTTTTCTACGCTCTATCTTGTCAATGACAAGTTAGTCATTTAGCATCTTCGGAGTTTATAATGAAGCACTGTGCCACTTTTGTGTTTGTCAATTTCCTGCTTCTGTGCCAGTTGCAGAAATTGAAGCTTTAGCCTGACTATAGGATTTTGAATGATTTTTTTCATTTGAAGATGATATTAATTCTCTAAATCTCCTTGGAGACCAGAGATAAAAAAAAAAGAATTATAAGTCAGAATTAGACAACTCTGTGTTCTCTATCTTTATAATCTGCCCAATTCCTGCACCGTGAAGGGAAGTTAAAAGGTCTGGTCCTTGTAGTAACTTTTGGTTGGTTCTAGGACTCATTGACTAATTAATATGCAGTCTAAAGAACTTATTTCAATTTCATATTCTTTATGGTTTACAATTGCAAACTTACATGAGATTGGCTGGTGATAAAGCATTTGTCGTTGCTGTTTGTCTGCCTAACACCATTTGCTACCTTTTTGAACATAGGGAAGCAAAATATGCTATAGTTATTTGAAACTTTGTGATGGTATACCACCTTCAGAAACAGTGATTACGAATCTAACACCATCAATAATTTTTCTTAGAAACAAGGCTACCTGTGTATAGATAGTCGATCAGGATGCATCATTCTATTAATATAATAACTTGTACTTTTTTCCCCATTGCAGAGACGAGCATCCTGAGAATGTCTTGACTTCAATGCAAACAATCATCGAGCTTCTCTTAGAAGAAAGTGAGGATATACAAGAGAATCTTATACTCACTTTGTTGTCTGTTTTAGATCGTGATAATAAGGTAAACATATCTTTTTTTTGCCTCATGATTTTTTATTTTTTAGTTTTTGAGTGCCTTTTTCATAATGAGAATTGAATGTTGGAACTTTTTCTTCAAGGATGTGACTGTTGCTGCAAGAAAGGTTGCTATGAATGTAATAGAGCATTGTGCTGGAAAATTGGAATCTGGCATAAAGCAGTTTCTTGTATCTTCAATGTCTGGAGACAACAAGTCCCTGAAATCTGAGATTAATTACCATGGCGTAATTTATAATATCTTTCACTGCGCTCCTCAAATCTTATCAGGAGTTGTTCCTTTTCTTACCGGAGAGCTACTGGTAATCCTACTCAGCTGATTTTATTTGATTATCTTGTTTCTACATAACAGAGGATGATTGCATCGTGCTTACTAGTATGCCATGGTGTACTATGTTTCCTTTTTGGTACGAGTGCATGATTTCATGTGCAATATTACAAAAATATATTGTTCATTCTCTTGGGGGTTGCGATAGGCACCAAGGTGGAGTTGCTTTGAAATCTCTTCACCTCCTGCACAAATTCTCTCCTTTCATAATCAAGTCGCTGACTTTTAAGTGGCTGCTATAAATTCTCAAAATGTTGTGGCACTTTTAATCCTTCATGTTTGGATGTTAGATAAGTTAATCATTTTCAAATGTTTCCATAAACAGAGCGACCAATTAGACATTCGTTTGAGGGCAGTGGGTTTAGTCGGTGACCTCTTTGCTCTGCCTGGATCTAATACTGGAGCATTCCAGCCAGTCTTTTCGGAGTTTCTGAAAAGGCTCACTGATAGAGTGGCAGAGGTCAGAATGTCTGTCCTTGAGCATGTCAAAAGTTGTCTTCTTGTGAATCCATTCAGACCTGAAGCTCCTGAAATAATCTGTAAGATATTTTCGTCCTTGTTCTTCCCAAGATTATGGTTCTAAGGTCCTTTATCCTGATAATGCCAATCAATTCTCAGCTGCACTTTGTGACCGATTGTTGGACTACGATGAAAATGTTCGTAAACAAGTCGTCTCTGTGGTTTGTGATGTGGTATGTCATGCCCTCACATCCATACCTGTTGAAACCATCAAGCTGGTTTCTGAACGCCTTCGAGACAAATCTGTATGTACATCTATCGATGTCTTCACCCCTTTCTACAATTCCTGATATCTGCCTTCCTTTAATACATTAACATTTCCTGCAAACGTCCAGCTGTTGGTTAAAGGGTATACGATGGAGAGGTTAGCTGACATATACAGATTATCTTGCATGAATCGGTCCAGTGGCTCAATAGAGGATGATGACTATAATTGGATTGTCGGAAAGATTTTGAGATGCTTCTACGATAAAGATTTCAGGTAACTCATTCGATTTCTGGTTACGGCGATTACTTATATTGTCTGGTAATTATTCGACGAATAAAAATAATATCTTCAAAGAAATTACTTGTATGGTGTTTGATTCCCATTGGAGATGGTTTGTTGAGAACTAGAACCAATATGATGCATATTAATAGGTAAATAACTTTTTAAAAAATGTAATATCCAAGAAGCGGCTAAAGAAAAACTTCGAGCTGTGGCTACAATTAATTACTGTAGTGATTTCTAATATGCTATCTCTTGGACTTTATTTCTCCTTGCAGATCAGATACAATTGAACGCATCCTATCTCTATCCTTGTTCCCGGCTGGTTTTTCTGTCAAAGATAAGGTGGCGAAGTGGGTTGGTATTTTCTCTGGGTTCGACAAAATTGAGGTCAAGGCTCTTGAGAAGATACTAGAGCAGAAGCAAAGGTTCGTGAAACTAGTTGCTTAGACATGTAAAGTTTTTGTATAATGTTTGTAGATCAACAGTAGATGAGTTTAGAACTGCATAACCACTCATGAAACAAGTCTCATGGAGTGAATAATGTGGTGCAGGTTACAACTGGAGATGCGCAAGTACCTTTCTCTGAGACAGTTGCCTGAGGTTTGTAATAACCAGTTATGCAGTTTCGATCTTTGCTACTGGAAGTATTAAGAACTTTTGACGAACGTATTAGGTCGTTGTTCTTGTGCAGGAAGGTGACGGCGCGGAGACCCAGAAGAGAGTAATCTTTTGCTTTCGTGTTATGTCTCGCTGTTTTACGGATCACGTAGAGGCAGAGGAATATTTTCAGATTCTTGACCAGTTAAAAGATTCCAACATTTGGAAACTTTTGAGGCAACTTCTTGATCAAAATACTAGTTCTGTCCAAGCCAGTAGTTCGAGGGTGAGGCAGTAATCTGATATTGAAATAACCGTTAATTTTTCCTTTTCTTTTTACCAAATTCCCTTTCTTTGTCAATGAGCGAACAATAAAATGCTTCCGAAATCTAAAGAAGGGTTTCTTATTTATTGTAAATGTCATGTAGGATGATCTGCTAAGAATCCTTGGTGAAAAGCATCGACTCTATGAGTTCCTAAGCACTCTCTCTTTGAAATGCTCTTATCTACTATTCGACAAGGATCATGTCAAAGCAATTCTTCTGGAGGCTGGTTTACAGAAATCTTCTGGAAATAATGAATTAATTTTGTCGTGCATGACCATTCTTGTGGTATGGCATGTGCTTTTATGTTGAATCTTTATTAATAGTTATTGATGACTGCCGGTAGCTTTATTTAAATACTATATATTTTCGTCCAAGTACCCCTTTGACTATTTAAAAGTGGGCTGAAAGAATGTCTAAGCATGTTTAAACTTGACTTGACTAATCGATTTCATGTCTTCTGTGACTGAATATTTGCCATTTGATGTAGGTGTAGACGTGTAGTGGTGTATATGGAATGCCAACCATTCATTGTGCCTCAACATGTCATATAGTATATTTCTCTGAAAAATTGCAAATCTAGAGATGCACATATATTTTTCACTTGCGTGTTGGTTTGGTAACCCAATTCTTAATAGGGGACACTATTTTTGAGTTGGTGGAGCATGTAGTGTTTAAGGAACTTGATATCCTTTCTTTTTGTCTTAAAAGTGCATGAGGCTATACTGATCTTCTAAGATGGTATATCGATTTCACTTATAGGTGAAAAGATAAAAACCTAAATGATGCTACAATTTGCCTATAGTTGTTGGAACAACTGTGCTTTGTGATCCATGGCAAAGGTTGTGTGCTTAAATGTTCTTACTTAAATCCTCATCCTGCAGGAGAATTGTTTAAGTTGGTATCATGAGCCAAAAACTTTAAAATCCCTTCTTATTGTATCATGGCTTGAACTTTCAGATTCTTGCTCGATTTTGTCCTTTACTTCTTGGTGGGATTGAAGAAGATTTGGTGCATCTTCTTGAGGATGAGAATGAAATAATAAAGGAGGGTGCTCTGCATATTCTTGCAAAGGCTGGGGGTACTATCCGAGAACAACTGGGAGTTGCATCAAAGTTAGACTAAATTTTATCTCTTCTTAGTTATTCTTGCGCCCCTTTTCTGGTTGTCTTTCTTCACTAAAGTACAATACTTTTGATTATAGATCATTAGATCTGATTCTGGAGCGCATATGCTTTGAGGGTAACCGAAGACAGGCCAAGTATGCTGTTCATGCCCTGGCATCGATAACAAAAGATGATGGACTCATGTCACTCTCTGTTCTATACAAGGTTTCTTTTTGCTGCCTTCTTTTTTAACTCATTCTCTTGTCTTATTCTCAATTATAATTTTGTATTGCTTTCTGTCATTTTATATGCTTTCTATTCTGCTAAAAAGTTTGATGATTCTGTATTATGCCTTCTGTTCTAAACGAGTAGAGGCTAGTTGATATGCTTGAAGAAAAGGCACATTTACCGGCTGTATTGCAATCTCTTGGATGCATAGCACAAGCTGCTATGCCAGTCTTTGAAACAAGAGAAAGTGACATCGAGAAGTTCATAAAGGAAAACATACTGGAGCATGGACATGTATGACATTTGGAATTTGCAAGAACTTTATGATCCAATTTTCTTTTGTTGTTACAAAGTTCAATAAACATACTTCAATTGCAGAAATTGCAGGTAACAGGGGATGAAGCACCTGATAGTTGGGATGATAGAAGTGAACTTTGTTCTTTAAAGGTCTTCTTTCCGCACACTTTTCGTCCTTTATCACTGCAACACTGCACATCTTGGAAACCTTTATGGACTAAATGAGCATTCAATTGTCTCTGCAGATTTTTGGGGTTAAAGCACTGGTCAAGAGCTACCTACCTATCAAGGATCCTCACCTTCGTTCTGGAGTTGATGGCCTAATTGAAATCCTCAAGAATATACTCTCTTTTGGTAATATCTCAAGAGAGATAGAATCAAGGTAGTTTGGACAGTATTTCATCTAAAAGTGATTTCACTTGTATGAACATTGCTTAAGATTCTATTGACGTGGTTTATCTTTTCATGTTTCAGTTTAGTTGACAGGGCTAATTTGAAGCTTGCTGCAGCAAAAGCTGTTCTTCGTTTATCAAAGCACTGGGAGCACAAAATTCCTATTGACGTCTTTTATCTTACATTGAGAACTTCAGAGGTAGAGTTTACTTAACTTGGAGGATATGGTCATTTGTGGAACTAGTTTCTATTAAGTTGAAATGGATCACTGTGTTTTTCTTACTCTCTCACCGTTGGGTTCTGAAGGACAATTTTCCTGAGGTAAAGAAATTATTACTCGACAAGATTCATCAGTATGTAAAGGAGCGGATTTTAGACCCTAAATATGCTTGTGCCTTCCTGCTTGATCTTTCGTCACAGCAGTCAGATTTGGAAGAGGTAAAGGGTATTTCGGTTTTCACTCTATTCTACTGTTTGGTTTTTGATTGATTTTATACTACATCTATCACTGGAAAAATCCCCATGTTTTTCAAATAAATTTTGATGATGCATTCTCCTAATTTAGCAGAACAAACGCAACTTGAATGACATCATCCAGTTGTGTCGGCAAGGAAGGGGGCGACAAGTTTCTTCACAAACTGATGCAAATTCTCCCCCACATTATCCAGAGCTTATGTTCCCATATGTGGTTCATTCGCTTGCTCACCATCCCTCATTTCCTAATATTGACGAATGCAAAGATACAAAAACATTTGAAGTTATGTACAGGTACTTTAGATTGACAATTATAATACTTAAATTAAGAAAATAACGTGCAGGTGTAATATTATATGGGGTGTTGTATCGTAACTTGTAATTAATCACACGCTTGATTAGCAGTACTTTCGAAACTAACCCCGCTCTTTCCTCACATGCTACTGGAGTGTCTTGGTTAAGATAGACATTTGAAACGGCTATGCTATTTGCTGGAATATATTTCTTATGCATTCTCCTTCGTATGAATCACGAATTTTTTGAGCTCTGTCGGAGAATATGCATCGTGGATCTACTTAAATCTGAACAATGTAGATGTAATCTCATAGATACTGAATTGATATCTATTAGATAGGAAGCTCAGGAGTGTGGTTGCTTGATAAGTGTCTCCGTTCTTTTTGTTTGACAAAATTAATTTACTTCTTCTAATGGTGTAATCTTTTTTATTTGATACCTAACTGATTGTTACGATGACAAACTGGCTTTAGATGAAACAATAGATGTTCAGATTTCATTTGTTTAGATGTGATAGAAGATGATCTATATGATCCAAACAGAATTGTAGTCGAGATATCTACCGGAATTGGAAACTAATTAAGGCCATGATATTGAGCATGACTTGCAACCTCGATAGCCTAATGCCGTATTTATTGGTTTCTTGCCAGTAACAAATGTTGTCGTAAACAAAAAAATATTTCCTTTTGGGAAGTGGCAAATGTTGTGGTCGAAAAGATCCCCATGTTAAGGCAGTCAATCAATTATGGAAAACCAAAACATAGAATGTTGTAAGTGGCACTTGATAGTTGGTTGATATAAATTAGATAAGGATTGAACCTAATAACTTCTAACTTAACTGATTGAAGATTCCAAGTGGCTAAAGTCATCGGTTTGTAACATGAGATTTGCACACGATCAATTTTCTCTCTGCATGTGAGGGCAGAACTGCGATGTTAAAATAAAAGTTATGAAGTACTGATACTGTGAAAATGTTGAGGCATAAAAATAATTAAATAAGGCCTAAAACCCATACACATGAAAATTATACATGTCTCTTGTATTACTTGCCTGTGTTCTCATATCTGTTAGAAGCACGTTGGCTCATGCCTATGCAGAGAGTTTATCAAGTCATTCAAGTCTGTCGAAAAGAAACGTACAAGCAGCAAGGATAATTTCTACATATTTGTCACGAGTCCTTTTTGGTTTCTAAACCATGTTTTATTAGTTTTTTGGTTGTTATGAGTGTGTTGGGTCTTCAGTTGCTAAAGACTGTATATTGAAATAAATAGATGATAAATATGTGTATATTATATGTTATACTTTATAAATAGATGATGAATATATGTGTATCCCAAATTAGTAATACAACTGACTTGCACAAAATTACGTGCTATTATGAAGTTTCTTAATATAGCTAGAATCTGGCCTGAAATTTATTTAAGTATGATTTGAATTTCAAATCAGTTAATTATGCACCTTCTGTGGGCTTCATATTTGTGCCATAAGAGGACCTTGTGCCTCGGTTCAGTTGGCACATTTATTGTTTAAAGAGAATGATTAAAGAAGGAGATTGTAACTCACGTTTTTAGAAAAATCATAATATGGCGAATATGATTTTCATCAGTAGAGGCTTGATGATATGAATATTTGTTGGCTATTTGGTTCAATTTCTTTTTTGAAAGTAGTGTAACAGCATGGTGAAAACAATCCACCATGTGGGATATTTGCTCAGGATGCATTTAGTTTCGAAAAGCATTTGTTGTGATATGTGATGGTAGAATGGGATAAATGAATATGATTTATCTGGCGTACATGACAGAATTTGTTTATTTTCGCTCTAGAAAATGGTTATTTTGGAACCTGTAGAGTAAATATTTGTTTAAGTAATAAATGAGTTCATTTTAGGAGTTTAATTGGTGTCACATGTGAGTCCAGAGGGGTCATTAAAGAATTTGTTGTGTGGCTTTTGGAAGGTTGAGTGAATCTGAATATACGTATTTGCCCTTGGTCAAAGCCAATTGATTAAATTGACGATTTTTAGCAAGCATTGTACCTTGACAACACGCATCAAGAACTTCTAGAACCTTTAACTTGCAGAATGACAACACAATGGGCATACTTGTAAAACTCAACATCTGCCTGAAGTTTCTTCTCCTGCATCATTTAATATATGCTATCTGTTTCAGGAAATTGTATATGTTCATATCTATGCTGGTACACGGAGATGCAGATGGAAAATCTGATGTCAGTGTTAGCAAGGACATGGAGACTTTTTCATTATTGAATTCAATCTTTCTACGTATCAAGTGCTCGAGAGATGCTTTTGATGCAGCCAAGTCCAAGGTTGGATGTTTTGATACCATTAGATTTATCTTCTCATCTTATAATGCAATTTCTTATGGAAAATTTACATTATTTGGCAAGATAGGAGTTAGGACATCTCATCACACATTGAGAAAGGACGACGAGTCAACATATCAAATAAAACACAATGCTTAAATTAGAATATTCATGATGTTACTGTTGTTTCGGTTCCATGTAACATTTTCAAAATCATGTATTTCAGAATTCGTATGCTCTGTGCGATCTTGGTATGTCAGTTGTGAAAAGGTTGGCTCCAAAACAAGACGATCTTCAAGACTCGAGTGCATCCATAAACCTACCTTCTATGCTCTATGACCCAATTCCAAAGAAAGAAGAAAACGACTCGCTGGTATGTGCAATCAAACTTCATTGATCTTTGCATGAATTATCATATCTGCTTGATGATATGATGTCTCACAAGTGGAAGAATTGTCTACTCCCCTCCCTTGATTTTTTTCTACATCTGATCTCAGTTCTCAGAAGCAAGTCATGTTCTTGTGGAAAGAGTGTATTCGTTTCTCTCTTATTTGCTGTTGCCCAATGTCTCTTTATGTCGTGTGCCACAAGTTACAGCACTGTCCTCCGCCTGAGGATGCTCTAAACCTAGAAGCTTTGACACCGAGGCTATTTCAGTCAGCGTATTTATTTGATTATGACTGACTGCTTCTGTGGAAATATGCAATAAAATGTCACTTTGAATCTTTTCATGCATGTCTTCCTTCTGTTCAATCACTGTCAGGCATGGAAGCCATCTCTAAATCCGGCTTGCCGATCTGATTTCTAATAGTACCTCTTATATTTACCTCTTCTAAGGCATTAACTGTAAAGGTATACCATATGGTATTCTGCCTTCATTCTTTCCATTTATGCTGTTCCTCCACCTCCCAATGTTTATTACAAGGTCAAGCAGTTTTTGTATTTTACGAGGAAGTATAAGAGATGCTTTTGGCGCCTGTGCATTTTATTTTTCTTATTCCTCTTTTTGCTGATCTTCTTGAGGATGTATGTACATGAATATTTAACTAGCATGTTGACAATCGGTATCTTGCTGCTAACATGAATAGAAATGGAAACTTGCTAGCTTTTATGTTATTCATGACGTCTATACCTGGTTGTGTGCATTTTTCTAAACTAGACTTGTGAAGAAGAGAAGACATGGCTGGCAGATGATGATATCTTGGCCCACTTTGAATCACTTGAATTGGAAACCAATGGAATTGTAAGTTTTGGAAATAATTTCACCTAATGGCATATTATTCAATCTATGACTTGTTAGGTAATCTGTTAGTAAGGTATTTTGTCTACTCCAGGTTAATTCAGTACTTGAGGAGGATGATATCATGAAGGATAGTGAAACAGAGGGCAGCGAAATACCATTGGGAAAGTTGATGAAACGACTAAAAGCTAAAGGAGCAAAGGCAAGAAAAGAGGTGAAGCATGAGTCTACACTAGCTGGCGGGGAAAATACAAATGAATTTGATATCTTGAAAATGGTGAAGGAAATAAATTCCGACAATCTGGATACAGCTGTCAAGTTTAGATCGAGTAACGGTCATGAGTATGTTCAAAAAAAGAAGAGAAGCAACCATAATCTTCAGAGGAAAACACTTTTTGATGAATCAACGGATGTTCCTGTACCAAAACGTAGGAGAACATCATCCGCCCAAGCTAACAAGTCTCTCCGTACTAAGAGACCTGCTAATATAAATCAGGAAAATAGCAGTGTTGACTCTGAAAAAGTGGATGAGGAGCTTCAAACTAGCGCAGAAGATGAACCTGTGAAAGAAACAATGGCTGATTCTATAGAGTCAGACTTGTTTGTTTCACGTATTGGGAAGAAATCCAGCTCCTCTAAGCAGAAAGGTAAACGACCTGACAGAGATCAGACAGAGACTCTCTATACCCCTCCTAATGCCAAGGTATACTTCTCTACTGATGAAAATTTGTGGAATGCCTATGGTGTTCTTGAATATAAAATTTTCACCTTTTTTTGCGCAGAAGCCCAAGAAAGTTGCAGAAATTGATAGTACAGGCTCATTCATTTTTTCCAAGTCTACGTCATTGAAAAAGCAAAAACAGAACAGTTTGACTGGTTTAGTAAAGGTTAGTGCGTCCCATCTTTTGTCTGAGCTTGTGAAGGGAAACATGCTGGTTTTTAAACTTGTATGGGTTCTGTTTAAAGCACTGAAGAAGTATATTTATGGGATTGTATGATAGCTTGAGTGTCATTGTGAGAAATGAGAAACTTGAAATCCAAAATATATGATGTGTTTTTGGTACATTGAGCTATCTCCTGCTCTCTTTGCCAAATGATGAAATGCTTTCTAGAATAAATTGTTTTTTTTTTTTTTTGGAGTAAAATAAATTGGTTGATGTTGCTAAATTCTGCATCTTTACTTGCATAATTATTTTACTTTTTATAATTAAATTCTCTACAACTTCCGTTCTCTAAATTTTACTTTAACCCAGTATCCACTTTGTTTCGTCTTTAGTGCACAACAAAGGATTCGGGAAGTTCCACCGCTGACTTAATTGGTTGCAGAATAAAAGTCTGGTGGCCTATGGATAAGGAGTAAGTGCTTTATTATCTGATTTGTATCCTATAGTCTTGTTCTGACAATTGTAACATAAACAAAAGATTTGGAAAGGCTAATGTATAGAATGCTAGTGTAGGTATCAAACCATCTTTCCTGTAGTATTCTTGTGAAATTTCTTCTCAAAAGTACTTTGTAACTCTGATTTCTAAATTTTTACTGGAGAATAATTTGACACCAAGCCCACCTGTTCCTATCCCCACCCCCACCCCACCCCATAAAAGAAAACCACAGAAAAGGAGAATGCAGACTGAAATAACTAAAAAAGTATAACGAGTGAAGCGGAATATGAATTCCTCCATATAGGCATATGGCTATGTGGATCTTTCTTCCAACTGAGTACCATACTCAGTGACTTCCTTACCATTATCTCTACCCTTTGCATATAGAGTTACGATTCATCCAGGGAGATCAAGAGAGAGAGAGAGAGTGAGAGTGAGAGTGAGAGTTAGAGAGAGGAGAGAGTTGGCATTTCAGCTATATCCAGTTACAGTTGTGAATTTTTGTACCCAGATAGCTTACAATTCTCATGGAGTTCATAGAAGATTTTCGGTTGTTCTAGATTGAATTATGACACATGTTCCTCTTGTATGACTTCACGCAGATTTTACGAAGGTGTGATCAAGTCGTTTGATACCGAGAAAAAGAAGCATGTGGTAAGCTGCAGCTTGATTGTCTTTTGCCCCCCTGTTCGCTTTATTCCTTTTCGTTTAAATATTTTTATCAATTTATTACAGATATTATATGATGATGGAGATGTGGAAGTTCTTCGATTAGATAAGGAACGCTGGGAGCTTGTTGATAATGGTCGAAAATCTGAGAAGGTCTAAATATAAAAAAATAACTGTTTCCTATCAGAAATGTGTTTAGATACTGTTTTAGCATAAGATCTGACAAAGTGAACACACCATTTGCAGAGATCAAGTTTGTCAAAGGGTTTTCATCCCAAACGAGGGTAAGTGTTACCTTAATTAGATGTGAATATACACTTGCTAGTTTACAGTTTCATGTTGAACCGCCCACTTCCACCTTTTTTTTCTTTTTAATACATAAACACTCATTTACGCATGAGCAGCTAAATATTGGTGTACTTACGTAAAGTAGTAGTTCATCTAAGATAATGCTTAAAAGTAATTGGTTGTAATTTGCTATATTAGTTGTAATTTGCAGAACTCGTAGGAACTCTTAATCTTATAGTGACATTGGGCTTACTTAAAAGAAATTGTGATTTTTCACCTAAGATAATACTTTAAGAAAGATGTACGCTGCTACTTTCTATTTAACTCAGTTATAGTATGAAAAGCTGAAGTAATAATTTGTAGGCAACTGAATCTTTTTAAATCATTCTCTCCAGTAGCTGAAAAGGTAATAACAACCGAATGTATACACTAACTAACATCTCTTGTTATTTCCTTGTTCGCTTAATTGATTGTTTACCTTGGCATGTGCATGTCTTTGGTGTTGCAAGTGGCTATTATTTGGTACTCATTTGATTGATTCGCAGATCATCTGGGCAGAGAAGGAAATCTGGTGTAGGCTCAGAACAAGCTCAAAATTTGAAAGTGAAGTGAGTTAGTTTTTGTAATTGAAATGCTTATCTCTTTTACTTATTATTATCTTACGTAATTGAACTGACTGGCAGATCTCCATCATCTCAAGGAAGAGGGAAAAGAAGCCCACGCAGAAGCCCAAAGAAAAGACAAAGGAGCCCGTTGAAGAGTAAATCTTCTAGTGAAAGCAGTGGCAGCCCAGATACCAAAAAGTCCATAACCGATAATTCTGACTCAGGTGAAGAATCTTACTATTTAGCATCTCCTCAATTTATAACCAAACCAATCCTGCAATATTTGATGACTAGTTTCTGCAGATGGTTTTTTACTTTTTCAATTTATTTATTTAATTTTTTTTTTTTTGTCTTTACAGAAACATCAGAGAAGGAACAGAATGAAGAGATTGTTAACAGTATGTCTGATGAGGAGCTATCAGACAAGGAGGATAAACAAGAGGAAGACGAAGAGAAGAGTGAAGCAGAAGAGGAGACAGAGAAAGAGAAAGAGAAAGAGAAAGAGGAAGAAAGTGACTCTGAAAATACTGAGAGTGATAATGATGCTCATGAATCTTCGGATAACGAATCAGTCTCTTCTCAAGACGAGGAAGAGGTATACGAGACCAAGGAAGAATCTGAACAGGAAGTTGAAGAAGCAGAAGATATGGATACAAACGAGAAGACCTCTGTTTCTGATTCTGTACAAGCCGAGCTTTCTGATGACGACGAGCTTCTGGTAATTGAATACAACCATTTATCACTTTAGGAGAATTCTTACGTAAATTATTTAACTTCGAGTGATGCGCTAACTTCTTTTTTTTTTTTTGCCCTTGTATAATGCAGAGCACATGGAAACAACGTGCAGGAAAAAAATAGGCTTTGGCGAGTGAATTTAAAGCTGCTGCACTTTTTGATGATTATGGTGCAGAATGGCGAAATTAGTGCAAGAAGCTGAGTGTCCCCCCCATTGATATTGTTGCCGATCTGAATAAATTTGCGTAGAACTGCTGTAGGTCTTAGTACCATAGAAATATAGCATACATGATAATAGTTGTTTGCATTCGTATTGTTGCAAAAGGAGTTTGTCTGCAGTGGGTTATAGTAATTGATACTTTTTGTATGTCTTAAATTTAAGTTTATTTGTACAGCTATACTTGCTATCTAGCTGGTAGCCTTTGTTGTTCATCTCCCTGATTTCAATGTATGTGAAAAATTGGTGATCTATTTAAGTTTTAGTTTATGAGTTTTGTGAAGTTTACCTGGTAATTTTACACCGTAGATTGTACGCAATTATGCATACATACATGGTAATAATGTGTGCATCTTGTTGGGTACCCGTTTGAATACATTCATTATAACAGAATCACAGATACATTCTATTGGGATTATGGCTTACAATTCTACTAATACATATACAAATCCTAATAGTTCCATCCAACACATGGAACTCTAATAGGTTAAGCAACGATTCGATTTTCTATTGTCACATTCTCGTCCATAACCAACCTGCGTGCGTACTAATAGCCCAATACAAAACACAGTTCAACGGAACCCTAAATCGAACCAGAACCACTCAGATGTTGGTCAACACTCTCACCCACAACCCCCGTCTCGTCTCACATGATTTGAACGGTCTCTTGTGTTTCCTCTCACTCGGAAGTGAATCTCAGTCGTTGACCGAAGACAGAGATCTGAAATTTGGAAGAGATTCAAATTGCATGTCTCTCTCTCTCTCTCTCTCTCTCTCTCTCTCTCACACACACTAACTGTCGGACCAATTAAAATATTCCAATAATTAATTGGAGCCCGTAAATACCATTTGACCCAACTTCTTAATAAAATTCGGCCCGCCTATTTATGGCCCGGCCCAGCTTCAATACCCAAAGGCCGAATCCACTTCACTCCCCCCAAAATCTTCTGGCGGCAATTCGTATTCTACAACTCTCTCTTCCCTCCATCAACTGCATCATTTCGTCTTTCTCTCTCTATCAATGGCGGCCGACCGATTGAAGTTGAGGACAGCACATGACCCGACAACTGGTCCCGAACCAAGTTCATATCCAGACCCGGAAAATGCAACCGCGGAAAAACCTAAAAGAGCGGCGGTGGTGGATTTAGGCAATGGGAGCCAGGTTTTACACATGCCGCGATTCATTTCATACGAAGATTCATGGAATTATTTCGATTACCTGGACAAAAACATCCCTTGGACCCGACCCACCATCCGCGTTTTCGCCCGATCGCATCTCCAGGTCCGTTTCCCCCCTCAATCACTCTCTCCTATCTCTCCAACCCTAAATTACGAACCGCGTGATTTTCCTGCAAGTTTTCTGACAACGAGTGAAATATTTTATTCCCCTGCCACAATAATTGGAAGAAAGTACATATTTTGCTCGGAATTTATCATACATATTTAGACTCTGTTAATTTTATTTTTTCTGTTGAAAAAAATGTCGTCTTGATTTTCTCTTACATATTAGGGCTTGCATCGTTAATTGCTCAGAATTCTACTTGTGCCTGAACAGCCAAGAGACACGTGCTATGTTGCAAGTGAAGGAGTGGCCCAACTAGCATACAGTGGGTATAAGCCTCATGCTTATTCCTGGGATGAATTCCCTCTCCTCAAAGAAATCTTGGATTTGGTGAGGAGCTTGCTTTACAATTTAGATCTCTCTCTTGACCAAATCGATAATCGAATATGATTTCTGTTTTTATCGATTCTGTGAAATGAAATTCGTCGCTTCGTGCTTCTAATTGTGCTATAACTCATAGGTCCACAAAGCTGTTCCCGGAAGCAGTTTCAACAGCTTGTTACTGAATAGGTACAAAGGAGGCAATGACTATGTCGGTTGGCACGCCGATGATGAGAAACTCTACGGACCCACTCCCCAAATTGCTTCGGTTTCGTTTGGTTGCGAACGTGATTTTCTCTTGAAGAAGAAACCAACTAAAAGTACTCTTCAAGGTACCGAAATATCTTCTTTTAACCCGAGTCTTTAGGTTTATTTGGTTCCGTGTGTTTTGACTAGCCGCAAATAGGTTAGTCTAACTTACGATGTACGTAACAAACGAGCTTGTAATTGGAAGACGATCATTAGGATCTTCTTGCATGTTATGTAACAGCATAGAAAACTGTCGGGACATGATTTACAATGAGACTCTACATTATGCTCAAATGATCATATAGAATTTTTCTTATTATCGTTTGCCGGTTTCACATGTAACAAGATGTTATTGGTTCTATTTATTTTGAGCCAACGCGCGTTTTCTTGAATTTCTACAGCCAACTCAGCTAGAGGAAACGACTGTGAACAACCAGCTAAAAGATCAAAGAAGCTCAAAAATAGTGATCAACATAGTTTTGTATTGAAGCATGGCTCACTTCTGGTAATGAGTGGCTACACCCAACGGGACTGGCTCCACTCGGTCCCTAAACGTGTCAAAGCGGACTCGGTTCGAATTAACCTTACTTTCCGACGCATTTTATTTTGAAATTTCTGATGTAACTTGTATATAGTAATTACTTTTTATGTATCAACTCATGCTTTTTTTTTTTTTTTTGGAACAATCTTTGATTAAATACAAACCTGACTTTGTCTGATGAACATGGGATTAATGTTGAGATAATCTTGTTAGATTAGTAATTTTGAATTTTCTTTTCCACAATGATTATTTCATGGAGTTTGTTTTTTTTTTTTTTTTTTTTTTTTAATTTATGTTGTTAAACTTCAAACAATAAATAAAGTAACATTATATTCTCCGATTGCAACAAGATATATGAACTTTTATGGCAACAAATTTAAAAATTAAATAAATAATGAGATTATTATTGATAAGAGTACTGCGTAAAGTCTGTGCAAGTAAAAACGTGTTAGACCAAGCGGACCGTCTCCCTATTAAGCAAAAACGCGATATACACCATAGCGCTTTTAGATTAAAAAAAAATATTGGAAAAATTAAATGCAAATATGTTGGACACGCCTCTCTATGCACCTACAACTATCGCCACCCTGTCACTCGTTAAGACAAAAATTAAGGAAAGAAGGGAAAAGAAACAGGGAAATCAAACTACAGAAATACTGAGGTAATCCACAGTTTCCTAACTCCGATTTTCTTCGCTAAATTTCTTCCGTTTCTCTGTGTATTATCTTTTTTTAAATCACGTGGGAATTATGATTTTTCTTTTCTTTTTTTTCTTTCCGATGGACTGCCTTCGGCCCGGATGTGATCAGTATTGATTAATTTAAAGATTTCTTCCACATAATTTGCTGATCACCTTAGCCCCCCGCCCCCCACTCCCCCTAAAAAAAACATATTATTCTGTTCAAATTTTGGGTTGTTGTTGTGATTTTTGGTTTCTGCATAATTCTTGGTGCAGGGGGTTTTACTTTGTTGCTTTGGTTGTTGATGCCTTTTTTTTGGCTGTGCTTATTTTCCTGCAGAGTACTCCCATGGCTTCACTAGCAGATGATCCTATTAACCCTCAAGGTGAACTCATATACAGCGGTTTCTGATTTCTCAACTTCTGCCCCTAAAAATTGCTTTATATTTTGATCTTAAATCTTTACGTATTTTTTTTCGGGCCGTTCTATTAACGAACATTAACTAATATCTTTATTATCCACCATTTATTCTCATAAGTTTCAATGACTAAATCAAATGAGTTTTGCCTCAGATGTTTGCATTGTCGGTGTTGCAAGAACACCGATGGGCGGCTTCCTCGGTTCTCTTTCGTCTCTCCCCGCTACAAAGCTCGGTTCTATAGCCATCGCATGTATGTACGTCTCTTCAAAATTACTAGATCACAAATATTATTTTTCCTTCTAACATTTGCTATATGTTTTTTAAGGTGCTCTTAAAAGGGCAGGTGTCGATCCATCTCTAGTGCAAGAAGTCTTCTTCGGAAACGTTCTTAGTGCAAATCTAGGCCAAGCCCCTGCAAGGCAAGCTGCGCTAGGTGCGGGTATACCTAATTCAGTTATCTGCACCACCGTTAATAAAGTATGTTCCTCAGGAATGAAAGGTTAGTTCAGCATCTATTTACCGCTTCGATTTTTCGATTTTAGAAAACATGTATTCTGACATTGTTTCTGTTAGTGCAGCTACAATGATTGCTGCACAAACGATAAAATTGGGTGTCAATGATGTAGTAGTTTCTGGTGGCATGGAAAGCATGTCGAATGCGCCAAAGTATATCAATACAGGAAGGTATATTTACAGTTATGCCCTTGATATATACTTCATTCTCTTAGTTAGCAGCTTTTAAGAAGAATGCCGTGTCTTATTATTCGAATCGTAATCAAATGGATTGTTTAACAGGACAGGGTCTCGTCTAGGGCACGATACAATTGTCGATGGAATGCTTAAAGATGGCCTTTGGGATGTGTACAATGATTTCGGAATGGGCGTTTGTGCAGAAATGTGCGCTGATCAATATAATATAAATAGACAACAACAGGTAGTGTTTAATCGATGCCGATTTATCTTTTTTATATTTTCTTTTTTAATTTTCATAAAAAAAATTAATATTCAAGATTATAGGATTCTTACGCTATTCAAAGTTTCGAAAGAGGTCGTGCTGCAGAATCGTGTGGCGCATTCAAATGGGAGATCGTTCCAGTGAGCATCGTTCAAGATTTTTTTTCTTAGAAACAATTAGCTTAGTTGGAATTTTAAAAAAATGACGGGTTTATTTATTTCATAACTGCAGGTTGAAATTGCCGGGGGCAGGGGAAAACCATCTACCTTCGTTGACAAAGATGAAAGTTTAGCAAAGGTGAATGAAATAAGACGACGAAGCAATAATATGTTAGACTTTTGTGAACGATAAACTTTTTTATGAACAAACTTTTCGTCTCACGTTGTTTTCGTAAATTCTTCTTTTATTTTCAAACCGACATTTTGTCACGATATGTATCTCGTTTAGTAGAATTCCGGATTTTCTTAGGGTTATATGCTTATTTTGTCCACTTTTCGAATTTTACTTGTTTGTTGCTAGTTCGATGCATCCAAGTTAAGAAAGCTAAGACCAAGTTTTAAGGAGAATGGAGGTTCTGTAACAGCTGGCAATGCTTCTACTATAAGGTTTAGTTTCTTTACGTCAAAGTTATCGATTTTTTTTTATTATTATTTTTATTTTAATAGGAATTATCGAAGTCTGTGTTTTGTGCAGTGATGGGGCTGCGGCCTTGGTCCTAGTGAGTGGAGTAGTAGCAATTAAACTTGGATTGAATGTTATTGCCAGAATCAGAGGCTATGCCGATGCAGCACAGGTACTGTGGCGATTATTTATTTAATTACTTAATTAATTTTAATTAAACTTGGATTTAATTAATCGTCTATCAATATATTGGTTGGGGCAGGCACCTGAATTGTTCACAACTGCTCCAGCACTTGCCATACCGAAAGCAATCTCAAATTCTGGCTTGAAAGCTTCTGATATTGATTTTTACGAAATAAACGAAGCCTTCTCTGTAAGAATATATATACACACTTCAAATTGTTTCTTATAAATTATAATATGTTCGTTGCGTAATCGAGCAACTATTCTAACATCGTCTTTGCAGGTTGTGGCTCTTGCTAATCAGAGGCTGCTCAACATTGACCCTGTTAGTCTTTTTTTCTGCTTCATTCAATATAAATACATATATTTATGTATATATATATACATATTTTTTAATTACTCGAAAAATTGTTGTTATTACAGGAAAGATTAAATGTTCATGGGGGTGCCGTGTCATTGGGACATCCACTAGGGTGTAGTGGAGCACGTATATTGGTCACGTTGTTAGGGGTTAGTTTTGCTGAATTTAAAATAAGTTGATTTTAGTATTGCAATGATTTTTTTTACGATAATTGATATAAGTGATAATTAGGTACTGAGGCAGAGAAACGGGAAGTTTGGGGTGGCCGGAATCTGCAATGGTGGTGGAGGTGCGTCGGCTCTTGTTCTAGAGCTCGTTAGTAATCGGTAATTTTCATGACTAACCCTATCATTTTTTTTAAGAATCTTTATTTTCATCAAGAAATTGTAAATATGAAAAAAAATATATATATATATATATAATGTAGGCCGGTGGTTCGTTCTTCGCTATGAATAGAGACAGCCATCTGTAGTGAAGATAGCAATTAGCGTCCCGTTTATAACTGAAGCTTTGGAGGACCGGGCGGTAATCCTGTAGTAATTATAACTGTAATAATGTTTATATGAATAATGTTGTTGTTGCAATACATATGTGCTGAACACTGAACTCTGAAGATAGCAATTAGGAGTGGAACTTGGAACGGAACTTGTGAATTTCGCCCGATTTCTATTCGAGTTTTTTTCGATTTTGGAATAATGTTTTTCATTCTGATTTCTGAATATTTGGATGTGGTGTGAACTTTTCTGATTTTTTTTTAAATTTATTTTTCGGGATCAGAATCTAAAGCATACCCAAAATTATTGAAATTTGATTTTTGAGTGGATTTAATTTTGTAAAAAACTCCTCGGAAAAGGAATTATTTTTTCCAAAAATATAGTTATAATGTTCATATTATTTTATATTAGTATAATGTTGATTAAATGTATATAGATAATCTTTATTTTATTTTAGCAGCAATCACCATTAATAATAGGGCAAATTACGGCCTCCTTCTTGAGTTGAAATCAAATTACGTAAAAATCATTTATGTTTGGGTAATTACAGACATCCACCCAATAATGTATTTTCTTATAAATTTACCTACGAAATGAGGAGTTTTTTTTCATAATTACCCAAACAATAAGGGATTTTTCATAATTTGATATTACCTTAGGGGTTTTTACCCGTAATTTACCCTTAACTAATACAAGGCATAATTAAGAGCATATAAAAAAGGAAGGACTAAGGAGCAATTAGGGAATGGCAACTGAAATGGAGGCGCAATGGTCGGATTTCCACAGGATAAAAATGGGGTGTAATAAAAAAAAGGAAATGCTCAAAACATATCGAATGGTTGTTTTTCCAACCCATTGTTCTTACGCCCAATTTTTTCTTCCTTTGATTCTCTGCTCTTCTTCTCATCACAAATAATTGCAGAGGAAAAGGGAAGAAAAAAAACAAAATTAAATAAAAAAAATTTGTAGGCTGGCTGCTTTATTTTTTGTTGCAGGGCAAAATAATTTAAATTCAAAGGGTATTGTTCGTCGTTCAATTTTCCTATGCATGTGTTCTTCCTCGGAGAGTTTTGAGGTACGCCTGATTTTTATTTTTCTTAATTGCAATATTTAATTATTATCTGTCATGAGATTTCTTTTACATCAACAAAAATATTATTTCAAAAAAAATAAAAAAATACCGATGTTTATGTATTACAATTTAGGTACATTATGCAGAAGAAAGGAAAAAAGACAGCGATTTGTTTTCTGACATACTTTTGTTAATGAAAACTAACCCTTTTAATTGTAGCAATTCTCCAGCTCCTAATAAAAAACGTGGTGCTGCGAAAATGTTCGATTTCGCCGTAAAATCACGACAAAACGGACCAGGCTCTCCGATGGCGGCGGCAACTACACTTTCTCCGAGAGACGTCGGAGAAATCGACACAAGGTCGCCTTTCCAGTCGGTCAAAGCCGCCGTCACTTTATTCGGCGAAGTCGTCTCCCCCAAATCAACGTCGTTAACAAACCCTCTCTCGACGAAAAAGTCCAAAGCTGAAGAAGTTTGTTATCCAATCCTTAAACTCCACAAAATAATAATCCCTTCCTATGTTGTTTTTTCACTTTGTCAAATGATGTTTTTTTTCTTTCGTTTTTCGTCTTTTTGTTGTTTTTTTTCGCAGAGGGTGTTGGAAAAGGAGACGCAACACCACATAATGCTCAAAGAACTCGATTACTACAAAGATCAGCTAAGGCACGCAGAAACCGCAAAAGCTCAAGCCTTACGCGAGCTTAGCAGGGCAAACCGAACACTTCAAGAACTCACGAACAAGCTCGAACTTTTAAGCGAGTCGAAGCAAAAATCGATTCAAACCGCGCAAACAGCCAAAATCCGAGCTAAAGAACTCGAAGAACAGTATTCCATCAGAGCTCAATTGGGCACAGATGCATGGAAAGTCGATCTCGAAAACGAGCGAGAGCTCTACAAATCATCCACCGGAGAACTCATCGCCACCAAACAAGAGCTCGCGAATTTAAGACAGGATTTCGACGCAGCTTTAGTCGACAAATTGTCCGTTTTTCAGACAGCTGAAGATGCCCAACACACTGCTCAAATGAACCAGGAGAGGCAGAGTAAACTGTCCGAAGAAGTGAAAAAATTGCACGAAATGCTCGATCAAGTGAAGCTCGTTTCCGATCGAGATCGAGAAGAGCATGATAAGGTTATTGCAGAAAAAGACGAATTCTTGCGGGCCCGTAAATCAGCTAAGGAAGAAGTCGACAAGGAAATCGAGTGTTTGAGAGAAGAGTACGAGCCTGCGGAAACCCTACAGGAGAAGCTTCTAGAAACAACCAAGGCGTTTAGGGTTTTGCAGGAGCAGCTGAACGATATTCAGTCCTCTCATTTGTACTCCATCAAGAAAATGGCTTCGGATCTCGAAGCTGCAAAGAGGGAACTGCAAGAAGCTGTGGCGGAAGAAGATTCCCTTCGAGATTCTGTTGACTCGATCAAGATCCAATTGGAGGAAGTGAAGAGGGATCGGTTGGAAACGGAGAAGAGAGCACTAGCAGCAGAATCGACTGTCGAGCAAATGCAGGCCGATTTAGAGAAGAGGAAGACAGATCTCGAAGCAGCCATGTCAGCATCTGCTTCGGTTATTATGCAGTTGTCTCTCAAAAAGATTTTAGCCGAAGCCGAAATGGCTAGAAACGAAGCTGAGGATTGTAAGACGAAAGCCGAGTTATTAAAGCAAGAAGCTGAGTCAGCGAGAATTGCGACCGAAGAAGCTGAGGAAAAGCTGAAGCTTGCATTATTGGAGGCTGAAGCAGCCAATGCTGCAGAGAAACTGACAGAGGGTCGAATCCGCAACCATCCCGAGTCGAAAGAAACGGGGCCCGTTAAGATGATCAGGTTGTCGGTTGAGGATTTTGATGCAATGAATAAGAAGATTGAGGAGTTCAAAAATCAAGCCGATTCGAAAGTAGCAACTGCCATGGCTCAAGTGGAGAGTATAAACGCGAGTGAAAAGGGCATTTTGGAGAAATTGGAGGCGGTTAAGAAAGACGAAGAGGCTGTAGAATCGGAAATCAAGGAAGCTTTAAAGAGGGCAGAGATGGCAGAAGCTGCCAAAAGAGCAATCGAGAGCGAGCTCCAGAAACGGCGGGAAAATGGACACAAATGAAGCAAGATAGTGGTGGGTATATGTACTTATATTATTTTGGGAAAACAAAATAGATTCTTTAATGATTTTGAAGGTATTTACAAAAAAGAAATCGCAAACTCAAACTACCTTTCGTATGATTTTCGGAATAGATCGAATTGCTTACCAAATCAGATCCGCAACGAGTGTCCAGGGAGAAGAGCAAAAGGTCTCGTTTTTTACCTGCTTTTTCCATGAAAGATCATAGGATTAGCCTAAAAAAAATTCAATATAATCTATTTATTACCAAAAAAAAAAAACATATAATTATGTTATGTAAGAACTGCTCGAATTCGAATTTCGTTCTTCGTCCTTCACAGGGATATCGAATTTCTTTCCTTTGTCGCTTTTACCTCAGTTTAAGCTAGTGCCTGTCAATTTACAGGAAATAATAAAATGTATATTATATATTTCCTCCAGATAAGTATACATAAATTGCATCATCATTTTCTGTTTAGATATACTGTCAACACAATTAATATCGAATACTTAAAACTACGAGAGCAAGCGATTTTTTTCGTTGTCCGTCACTCGTCATCGTTGATTTTGAGGTCCCTGAATGAATCTGGATATTTCTCTAGGCCCTCGAATTTCTCTAATTCGGATTCCAAAATCTTGGCAATATCTCCTTCATCAGCATCTTCAGGTAAAGTAACATGCACAGACCCTTGTTTCAGCGGTGCGGTGCGCCCACGAACAGAGGATTGCTGCTTTATGTAATCGTAAAGTTGTTTGTGAAAAGGATGGTCCAATGAGAAGCAATTGTCGTCAGCATTATTGTCTGAACGTTTCGAAGAGGCGGAGGATCTCTTTCGGCAGAAATGGGGCAGGGAGGAATAGTCCATTATCTGCACCAAAACACAATCAAGAAAACTATCATATTATTAATTATTAAAAAAAAAAAAAAAAAAAGAGTCGAAAGTTTGTAACCTTCAAAAGATCGTCTTGTCCACAACCGGACAGTACGTTAATTTTCTTTCTTGTCCTTTCCTGAAGAAGTGGCTTAACAACCTGGTAATAGAAGCAGTGAAAAATTCGGCAGCTTCGCAAAACAGAGAAGTAGACAGTTAATAAACAATGTCGAAAACTGTAGGGGCAAATTAGACCTTCCAACAAGCGGAGAAGATATACGGGGCGTTCACTATGTAATAAGTTACTGTTTTCTCCGGATAGTTCAGATCGTCAATAGACGAAATAATAGTCATTAGCTGCATTAGAAGAAAAAAAAAAAAACTTTCGTTTTAACAATAATGAACAAACGAATAATTCTTGTGGAAAGTGAACTAGGATTCTTTTTATTACAGGTGCACCTTTATCTGGTTTAATGCCGAGAGCTTCAGTCCCGTCATATCTAGAATTTTTATACATTTGCAAATATGCCTCCCGTATTTTTTCGTTGCAGCTGGCTAAAATAAATACATTTCGTATGTTAATTAGACGTGTGAACAAAAGTAGGGAGAATAGAAGAATGAGTATGCTTACTAAAATGATACGATCCCGATATTCGTTGATCTGAATGTGGGATTGTACATAATAATGAACCTGGAAAACAAAGATAAAGTAGTTAAACGCGAAAGAATTGTAACATTATTAATCATATAATTATATAAAATTAATGAGATTTTATTTTACAGATGCTCGATCGAATGTGCTGAGGCCGACTCCAACAGCAAATACAGGGAGGCCCTATCGGAGAAGCAGCACTATTATTAATTAGAGCATGGAATTTCGTATTGAAGAAAAACATTAAATGCGTCTTTCTTATATATAATTGAACTTATTTTCTTGCTTCATCGAATGCGCACCTCGTTTGAGTAACCTGATAATCCTATAAGCTGCGAATCGCGTATTGCTCGGTAAAGCTCTACAGGAATAATTGGTTTCTGTAATAAAAGATAGCAGATGCATTTAATCATATCTCGAAATAAACTTAATCGAGGCTCCAAGAAAATGAACTTATGACGAACGAAATGATGGTTTCGATCGACTTACGGTTAACATATCGTCAATGTCATTTTGCACTCTCCACTCCAAACAATCAACTAACTGCAATACCAAAGTATCGGAATTCAATAATTCAAGAAACATTTCGTTTCACATGATACACTGTGGTTATTTAAGAGGTGTTTTTTTTCGTCTAACCATCTTGTAGGCCTTTGCAACATTTCCTTCTCGCGCCTTCAAAAATCGCGTCAAAGTTTCGTGAGGATATCCTTGATGCACAGTCTGTGCATAGTGAAAAAGGAACTAATTAGTAATTATTGCAATTGTTTATCGATTTCTCATCAATTCTTTGCTCCAGATTTCACAAATTCAGAAATACCACAATATGAACTGAAGCTAATTAACAGATAAATACTGAAGGTGAGCAAAAATTGGAAAATTCTAAATTCCGTCGATTCTGATTTGAAATTTTCTGATTTTGGAGCAAGTTTTATTCGTTCCAATTTTCGAAATTCGGAGGTTCCGATTTTTCTGAAACAGAATTGAACTAGTTTCTAACTTCCGAAAAAAATCAGAATTTTTTCGAAAGAGCTAATTCCGTTCCGATCGGTCCGATTTACACCCCTAAATCCAAACATTGGTCTCATTACAACAAGTATGCATTTTATTTAATTTTATTAATTTATTTTTTGTTTTTTGCAGTTTCTTTATTACAAAATGAAATTCTTGCAAATTTATGAGTAGAGTAAGACAAGCAGATCAGGCATAAAAGGCAGGGGATTTTTTAGAGTACAAACCTGGAATGTTGTTTTAAGTGATTCATCAACTGCACATCACAATTTTGCAAGAAAAATTGATCAAGAATAGAAAAAATATAAATAAAAAATTGGAAACAGTAGAAGAAAGAGATCAGGGTCAACTGTCAAAGTCAACTGACCTTCTTTCACTAAAGCTTCGAACTGAGTGATGGATTCTTGAGGAACCACCACAGCCATTTCTTTTTCTTCTCAACAAAATGCCAAATGATGAACAAATAAATTAAATTCCACTTGCATATTCTAGCAGATCAGTTTCTCACTCCTCTGTTTTTAGGAGAGAGAGAGAGAGAGAGAGAGAGGCAGCAAATTAAAGAGAGAGAAAGATGAGTAAAGATCCCACCTTTATTATTAGATGAACGAAAAAAAAGAGAGAGAGAGAGAGAGAGAAATTAATAGAGTAGTTGATTAAATTGAATGCAGACAAAATGTACTGGTCGTTGGTTTCTTATGCAAAGAAATTGGCTATGGAGAATGAGGTGTCACTGCAGCAACAATAAATTAAAATTTATATTTTACCAGATTTCAGCCATTGCACAACTGCTGCTGTTAATAAAAAAATAAATGATGTAGTTAATAAGAAAACTAACCACGCACCAGTATCAAGATTCAAGAGTACTAGGCTTTATATATATATATATATATATAGCTGCGTTTGCTAACTACAAAATAATTTTGAGAATTTGTGTCAATTGTTATGTCACTTCCAATAAGGGGTAAAAGTGGAAAAGGAAAAGAAAAAAGGGTACCACATAATAGAGAAATAAAGAAATAAAGGGACAGCCTCTGATGACAAATTGACAATAAAAAGGAAGAAAGATATTTGTGCACGACTGTAGACTGTAGGAAAAATCAATTCGGGCACTAAGTTAGTAAATTCAATGACTTGATATTTAGGTTGATGTATATGTACATGTCTTAAAATTATTTAATTTAATTCCTAAATAATCACAAAAGAGAGATAATTTGAGAGAAAGTATAAAGTGTATTGTTGATTAGTGTTTGATATATTTATATAGAGGGTTATTTATGGTTCTTTCCTAGTTTAAAAACTCTATAAGTGTATGAGATTTACATCGATCGTTCAATCATTTATTCTAATTTATATGTTTTCCTTATTTATTTATGAAAGTTATCTCTGGATCGCGTCTTGCAATGCTTATAGGATGTGTTCGCCACCTACTGCACCTCCTCTTCCCTTTTTCATGTGCATTGTGTGTATAGAGCGAGCTCTTAGTTCACTTAATGTATTACAGCTCATATGGCGAGTGTTTTAGCTCATTTCGACTCTTGCGACCCACTCGGCGATTTCGTGGCCCATTTTGCTTCTTACGACCCGTTCGGTTCTCGATCTAATATTATGGGAATGCGATCCAGTGCCGAACTGACCCAATCACGTCCAATCTTGATTTTCTAGTGAAACAAATTAAGTTTAATTAATTAAACCGCTTCCACATGAATGCATTATAGTAAACTTGAACAAGCGGTTGCATGTTACATGCCCAAGGGTATATTATTACACGTGGCCTATTACATGTTACAGCTGCAGTTTGACTTTTTTGGTTAGCTAGAAATTTAAGACAATTAAAAGATAACCAGAGCCCATTTAGTCAAATTAAGATAGCCGGCCTATCACAATTTGGGCCTAGCCATTAAATTCATCATGTATAAGTCTTCACCTCCACGGCCCCACTGTACAAAAGTCAAAAACTCTACGCCCAAAGTCAACGTTGGGATAATAAATTAGCAAAAACATAATTTGTAGTTTTGTACTACTAATTGAAGGGACCGGATAATAAGAGGGTGTTTGAGTAAGCTTATTTTAAACAGTTGATAAACTTTTACGTCTAATAAGATGTTTTAAGAGCTGATAAGCTGTTAGATTTTATTTTTTGGATTAATTTTTAGAGTGTTTGGATAATGAACTTATTTCCTATTTTTAGTTATTATAAGATCATAAATAAAAATGTGGGGTAGATGCAATTTTTTAAAGAGATGTTATTTACTCTCCAACAGTTTATTTTAAAAGAAATTAAGATCTTTTTAAAAAAAATTACCAAACACTTTAGAAGGGCTTATAAGCTCTAAAATATTGTATAAGCTCATTTTAACATTTTATAAGTTTAGCCAAACACCTTCTAAGTCCGCCTGAGTTGCATTTATGGACCAACGTTGCAAAATAATTTAATTAATTAAATAAATAGAATTAATAATTGGAAGTGCAATATTCATTGACCACAGACTACTTCATTGCATCCCGAGATACTCGTACATATTCGCATATTCCATTTGTTGGTCTAATCACGGACTAATTAATAATTATAAAAATAATACTACTACATCGGTCTCAAATGACAGTTATGTACTCTAACTCTACAACTGGGTCTTCTTCGTGTAATTAATTATATGGTTAGACTTAAAACATGCAATTAGGGAGGGGTAAAACATTAATTAATTTGATTTATTTAAATACAAAGCTAAGGTTAAAATTGATAACGCGTGTCTTTATTTCTGATTGACGTATTAGTATTAGTATTAGTATTAGTTGGGTAAATAAAAGACAAAGGTGGGCGAAAATCACAACACACTTTTCCCATTAATCATGATTAGTTAGGGTAATTAAATAAATTAAAACATATATAAAGGTGTTTGTGTATAAAATCTCGTTCTTGTCTCATTTAGGCAAGGCAAAAAAAAAAAGAATCCTCATAAGGCAAAAGGTCAACCCGCCACCACTTTTCTTTTCGCCGGAAAATGACGTCAAACAACGGAGGAGTAGGGTGGGATGACAAAACCAGGTTGACAGGTCAGCATCAAGATGATTATGAATTGGAGGAATACAAGGGTGGTGGGATCAGCGAGATTGAAGAGTTTGATCATGTGAAGATCATTAATGGTGGTGGTGGAATAATGAAGGGGGCGGCGGCGATGGAAATAATAAGAGAAGAAGTGGAGGGGAGCGTTTACTCGTTCGGCGGAGGCGGAGGAGATGACGTGGTGTACGTGGCGGTGGGGAGGCAGAGCGAGGAGACGAGCAGCATGGGGGCCTTGATATGGGTGCTGGACAATGTTGTCGTTCCTTCTTCTACGCTTCTTTTTCTCATTCATGTCTTCCCTGAGACCAAGTACATACCCACTCCATGTAAGTAATCTCTCTCTCTCTCTCCCTCTCTCTCTCTCTCTCTCTCTCTCTCTCTCTCTATACATATATATATGACCACATGAGACACACATCCACCATGTTTAGTTGTAAAACAAGAATTCAAGATTAATAGTGGACATAGATAAGATGCCAATTAATTAGCAAGAATAATCATGATTAATGGAAAGAACAGAAAAGCTAATTTTAAAAATATGAAAATAAAATAAAATAAAATAAAGAGAAAACAAGAAAGAAAAAGTGAAAAAAAATGTGTTGACTTGAATGGCAATAATAACAAATAATAAAAAATAATAATTACAGGAAGTAGCCTCAATCATCTCTATTAAGGAAAATATTTTCTTTTCATTGTGGATAATGCTGTGTAGGTTGGGTTCAGACAGTGTATATATATATATATATATATATAATTTTATATATATAACCACATTCTAAGTATAAAGGATGGATTTTAAATTTCTTGTGACATTAATATTGTTATACAATAAAGTTTTAATTTATTAATGCCACAAGAAATTTCGGTTTCCTCTATATATATTAATTCTATAATTATATAAAAAAAGTAATTACGTACTTTTGTTATAAGTTTATTCCTTTGTGATTAATGCAGTGGGAAAGCTTCCAATAAGCCAAGTAAACAGTGAGCAGAAGGAGAAATATATGTCTAAAGAAAGGGCCAAGACTAGAGATTTCCTCCAAAAATTCATTAACCTCTGTTCTCCTACCCAGGTATATTTATTTATTTAATTATTACTCACATTAATTTCCTCGCCATTATATATACATATATATTTCATGAGAAAAAAAAAAAAAAAAAAAAAGGTTATTATATATTGTAATAAAATGAATTAGGTAAAAGTGGAGACCATACTAATAGAAAGTGATATGGAGGCAAAAGCAATACTGGACCTTATTCCCATACTCAACATTAAAAAGCTAGTGCTGGGCTCAACAAAGTCTAATCTAAGGTAATATTTCATATTTCATCACTTTTTCTTTTTTACTTTTATATATATCATTTATTCTGATTAATTTAAAGAAAATGTAATAATCAGGAAGATGAGGTCTAGGAAGGGCAATAGTGGAGTACTGGCTGATCAAATACTGCATAATGCACCAGAGATTTGTGAGGTTAAGATTATATGTGAGGGAAAGGAAATGTCTGAACTACCCCCGGAGTCCCCTTCTCCATCTCCCTCACCCAGGGAAACTGATCGTCCTCTTAAATTTGCCCAGGACCAAGACCAACAGCAAAAGGAGACTAATGACTCGGTTGCCTGTGGATGTTTTAAAATATAATACTTTTATATAAGATGATATTCATCAAGCGGGGATAGCTCAGTTGGGAGAGCGTCAGACTGAAGATCTGAAGGTCGCGTGTTCGATCCACGCTCACCGCATTCATTCTTTTTTCTGTTTTGCCCTTTTGGTGATTTTTTTTTTTTTTGTTTTCCTCCCCTGATTCAATAATTTATGTTGTTTCTATCTAATGTACCGTTGTACATTATAGCTAGATTGAATATATATGTATAGGATAGAGAACTTCCAATTATTTGATCCAAACTATTTTTGCTTGAATATATACACATATATATACATGTGTGTGTGTGTGTGTTTTCATATTTTTTGGATTTGTTTTCAGCCATGGGCAAACCACATTAATTTGTTCTATCATCTACGGATACGGCATACCACTATTTACTTTCTGATTGCATAAAAAACAAATTGTTTACAGTGACAAATCTCAGTTATTACATATATATCTGTTTACAGACAAGAACAAGAAAGAACAAAGAAAGAAGATGATCATGGATCAAGAAGTCACAGCTATCATTTTCTTGTCTGGTTGATTGATTGGTTGAAACGTCAGCAAATACACACAAATGCATGCATGTTCAGACATAGCACATCCATCCACAACCTTGGTCCTACCATATGCATTAATATTCAACAAACTATTTTCCAAGAAATCATCCACAAAATAATTCTACAATAATGCAGTTTCCATTTCATCCTCTCCCAATCAACATCCTCTTATCCCCATTCTGATCCACACAATGGTCAAAGAGAAGGAAAAAAAAAAACCCATTTTCACACAGTCGAAGGTTTGTCGTAAAATTTCACCATTTCCAACACACATCCAAGAACAAAAACCCTCGTGGCTTAAAAACGCAATCTTGAACCCTAAACAGTATTTTAACTAAAAGAAATCGAACTCGAGATACTTATCGCTTTTCTGATCCTTGACACCAACCGCAACTGCAACGGCAGCTTTATCGTTTGCCGGTGGTGGTGGTGGTGCCGTTGCTGGCGGGGGTATCCTCTCGTAGTCGACCGCCTTCGGAATCTCCGGTGGGGTGGCGCACCGAATCAAAGCCCAATTCACCCCTTCGAAAAACGGGTGCTGCTTTATCTCAGTTGCACCTCTTTTGTAAGCCAACCTATGCTGAGGCTCTTTTACGAGTAAGCCCCTGATCAAATCCCTCGCAGCAAAACTCACCACGGGCGATTCCGGAAATCGAAGAGGCTGGCCCACAACATTAAACAAAGTAGCTCTATTACCGGACCCCTTAAACGGAGTTTTACCGAACAAAAGCTCGTATAAAAAAATCCCAAAAGTCCACCAATCCACGGCACTCCCATGCCCTTCCCCTTTGATAATCTCCGGTGCTAAATATTCATGGGTCCCAACGAAAGACATTGATCGAGCATTGCTTGGCTCAGCCATTAGCTCGGGTAAAGGGCTAACTTGGTTGCAGATTTCGTTTTTCTGTTTTTTGTCCTTTTTGGATTTGCTGGAAAAGAAACGGGGAGTGAAGCATGTTGTGGGGACCACACATGCAGGCTGAATGCAGGAGGTTGGTTCGATGCACGACGGCTGCACGCAGTAGGCAGAGTTTTTACGGTGTGGGTCCGAGCTGTCGAAAGATGCTGTCTTGACAAGAGTTGGGCTGACTGCACAGCGAAGCGAGAGATCGAAATCGGAGAGCATTATGTGACCGTCTTCTCTGACTAGAACGTTTTCTGGCTTGAGATCGCGGTACACAATTCCGAGCATGTGTAGGTACTCCATGGAGAGCAGTACCTCTGCCACATAGAATCTGCCCACAAGGAAAATTAAGAGTTAAATGTGTTGAATCAAGAAAGTTACAAAGACTGCTCTTTTATGTATGGATGACCTTAATTTTACTCCAACGAGTTTAAATAACAACGTTGTGTTGGAAATTCTTAGATGAATTGTAATAAAAAGACTGCTTTTTTAAACTAGACAGACTAAATCAATGGCTGAGACATTGAACAAATGACTACAATACACTAAATATCAAGAATTCGTTTGATGCTCAAAACGGGAACGAAAAATGCGAAGTTCAAATATGGTTAAGAAGATATCTTACTTCACCGCATGTTCGGAGAAGTATTTCCCAGCTTGCCTTTGTCTAAGAGTGTGCAGATCTCCTCCAGGACAAAATTCCATTACCAAACACGAAAACTTATCCGTCTCAAAATGCGAGTAGAGAGTCGGAAGAAAAGGATGGTCCAAAGACTGCAGTATCTCTCTCTCCGTCTGAGCACGAAGAAGCTTCTTACGGCTCGCAAGAGAACCCTTATCCATAACTTTCATCGCGAAATAACACTTTGTTCCGCTCAATTCGGCCAAATAAACGCTCCCGATATCCCCACACCCCAATCTTTTGAGCAGCCTAAAATGGCTAAGTCCCAAAGCACCGTCTCTCGCTCGGATAACTTGAATGGCTTCCCATCGAGTGTCGTTCGCTTTATGGGGTTTGTTGATGGTGCTGCTAAAGCTGCTGCATGTGCTCTCGTCGCTGACATCACTCCCCGTGCTCGCTCTGCACATGCTGCTCTTTCCGCTCTCCACGAAATTTCCATGGCCGCTTACTTTAGCGCATCCGCTGGTTTTCGCACTGGCTACATCACTCGTCTTTTCTTGATCGATCGAAGTTTCGAGTGAGCTCCGAAGCTCGTGTAAATCGAGATCTACGGTTGTTGTAGAGACTTGCTCGGATCTGGTGGAATCTGACGCGCTCGACGAATTGTTGACTTTAGTCGGAGAATGGTTTGACTCGATATCTTCTGCCGGTTGTTCGGGATTGACAGGTTTCGGTTTGTTAGGTTTCGAGGGCTGGGAAGGTAAGGGAGCTCTTGAGGCAGTTTTCGATGACATGACTGAAGCAATACACACTCAGCTCAACTCTTAGATCCAACAACTACTGGCCATGATCAACTTCAGAGGATTGTATCTCCCAACTCTGTCAAAACAAACACATGCTGATTAGAATAATCGAGAAGTGCACGATATGTATCTCGAACGAAAACTACACAAGTTTAACGGTGTTTAACAAGCATAGCAATCATGTTTATAATCATCAAAAAGAACAAGTAGTGTACGGAATTCGCTAAACTCACCGGTAAGATCTAAACGAAACAATAGAAAATCAGCAGAAATTCAGAATCAAGAAACAAACAAGAGCCTAAATCTCAAAACAAAAATACCAAATCACTAAAGCCCAAATACTCAAAAGCTCCAATGCAAAACTACACAGGACTTTATCAAAAGAGAGATGGCAAAAAAGAATAGCAGAGTGAAAGAGATGGGGGGCTGATGGCATAATTACAGAATATTAGTCAATCATATATATATATATATTTTATATATATATAATTACCAACAGAAACCCAAAAAAGAGGGCTTTAACAAAACTATAAAAAAAAAAAAAAAAATCAAAACCTACTTCCAGAAAACCTGTAAAGAGAACCTAGAAAACAAAAAATTAACAGAGAATCAAGGACCACCAAGAAAAAGGGGTAAAGTGGGCACTGAATCAAGTCAGCTGCTGACAAAATGCAGCAGTTTTTATAATAGCATACAATTCTTTTTACATTTTAACAAAAAAAACATAATGAATGATTCAAATTTCCCATAAAAATCAGATCTTGATCACAAACTCACAACCAAGAGGAAAAACCCACTACAGATCCAAAATTACAGAATCAAAAAAAAAAAAAACAAGTAGGGGCAAAACCCATGAACTGACAACAACCCAAGAAAGCTGAGAACTTGAATCAAAAGGATAAAAAAGAAAAGCACCTAAAATTAGCAATGATCACAAGTTCTTTAAAAGACTCAAGCTTTGGCAGTTGAAAAGAGCACTCTATAAAGAAGAGAGAGAGAGAGAGAGAGAGATTCATACATCCTGGGCTTGTTCCTTAGTTGTTGGTTTTGTACCAATGGCAAACAGTTAACGAGTGGATGAGAGAGAAAAGAATCAGATTAATAAAAAAAATTAGATGCTTGAAAGCAATAAAAAAATGAATGGGACTTTATATTAAGCGAATCACAACTGTGAACTGCTCCGGTCAAACTGAATAAATTTTTAACCATTTAACTAATTATCTCTGTTCCCTAGTTTCTTTTTATATTTTTTTTTTCTTTTTTTCTTTTTTGGGTCTGTGTGCTCTGTGTACAGTGTACCTATTTAAATTTTAGTTTATTGATTTTCTTTTCTCTTTTATTTGTGTTCTTATATTTTATAATTTATTTATATACTTTTTTTTTTTTTGAAATTATTCAATGCGTGTGCAGTAAATTAAAACGACACATATTTTAGCACGAAGAATGCCTTATATTTTTGCTGTCTAATATAGTTTGACATGTATAATATATATTTATTTCTTTTTAAATGGCATCCTTTGTTGTTTTTGTTTTATGGATGATAAATTAAATAATTAAATAAATAAATAAAAATGGAACAAACAAGTCATTAGATGTCTTTGTAATTGATTTAGTATTATTATCATCCATGTTTGTTCAACCCGACTGGCGTGGACCATCCTTGAAAATGAATGATGCATTTTCGAATATATGGATGTTAATTAATTGTTATTTTATTTATATATATATATATATATATATATATATATATATATATATATATATATATATATATATATTATCCAACTTTTCCCTTGCTAGAAGACATGAAAAGGGACACCAGTCTTAATTTATTCTGCTACGCCTATACAGTATATATACTTTGAATTTACTTAATTAATTATACTTTTTTGTGTTTTCATTAAAAAAGAAAAAGAAAAAAAAAAAGAGGTGATTTTGGAATTGAATTAATTATTGATCATCCAGTTGTCAATTTGATAATTAGGGAGGAATTTTGGCCATTAATTAATTCATATTAATATTGCGTGTATAGGCTGCAGAAATGAAATTGTAGTTCCAGGATTAGGCAAACAGGCCCCGACATCCACAATGCAATTGCTGTGTTCAGACAAGGCAGTGGCACCACCATTTTTGAACTTCTATCAATTAATCTGTCGTTTTTTTTTTTTTTTTTTTTTTGTGTGTGTGTGTGTGCGGACACAATAATATACACGTACACGTACGTACACATGTGTGTGCGTGTATATTTTATACATATCTTCACACACTCCCCCCACAAATACAATACTATATGTATTTACAAATGTGTGACCGTTTTATATTCTGTTCCATTAAATACATAAAATGAAAGACTACAATTATTTATTTTCAGTTTGATTAAAATTATGGAAATAATAAACACATTGTTGGAGACAATAAAATGGGACACATTGAAAAGAAATGTATTAGCAATATATAGAACATCTAACATGCATTGGTAATTTTAAGAAGATGGACTTGACTCTTGATCGATATCGATAAGCTCGTGGGACTCGAATGTTTATGTTGTTTGGATATATAGATATATACCAACTCTCATTAGGAGAGTTGGTACGTAGCCTTTACCAATAGGGTAACGGTCTAGGGTTCGAGTCCCCCCCTCCCCTACTTCCCTTTGTAATGGACTTGAATTTACTCAAAAAAAAATATATATATATATAGATATATACATATGTGTGTGTGAGAGAGAGATTAATAAATAGGATTTTGGAAGAATTTTTAATTTCAATTTTCTAAAATTCCGATTTTCGAGTTTTTTAACGGAGTCAAAAGTAGTTTTTCCCTTCCGAAAAAATAATATTCCGAAAGCACTAGTTACACTCCGATTCGTCTAACTTTCACCACACCACATTAGAAACACACAAAAAAATAAGGAAAATTTTGAAATAATATTAAAGACTTTCTAACTAGTTAATATTATTTGGAAATGTATATTAAAAAAAAAAAAAGTTAATATTGGTTTCCATCTTAATCAACTTTATTGGCAGACTTAACTGAATGTTGGAAAAGTTTCGATAAATTTAATTTGTTTGAGCACAATAATAATATTATTAAATTATTATTATTAGAATTATTGCAAGTAGAAGAAGAACACAAAAGGACCCAGCATGAGTTGGATAAGGAACCGATCCTGCAAAATATTAACACGACAACACTATACCAAACAAACAAACGCTTCTCTATTTTGTATTAAAGTCGCCACACTTTATTAATACCACTTTTACTCTTTTCTCCTTTTCCACTTTCTCTCTCCTCTTATTTTTCTTCTTCTTCTTCTTCTTTTTTTATTATTATTATTATTATTATTATTATTATTATTATTATTATTATTATTATTATTATTATTATTATTATTATGTTTATTTATATAATATTAATCAACTCGCTCAAACTGACTTGAGAATTGAGATTAGCGCCCGCATGGGTGTAGCTCAACTGGTTCCAGAGGTGGTAACTTGGTGCAAGGTCCTAAGATCGAATCTTGGCAGCCGCAGTGTGAGAATTTCAACTCCAAATGAGGGTTGGTTCCTTGTGGCCACCAGGTCCGGGTCCGCTACCTTAACGGGCCGTTGAGTTACCATGATTTACATTCCTCCATCAATCCTTATCGGGTCAAGGAATGGGGGCCCTGAGGCGAGGGATTTCGCATTTTGGTGCGAGAATTGAGATTAGCTCCATAAATCAAATTAAAAAACAACAAATTTGACCACTATTTCCCATGGTTATGAAATTCTCAAATTAAATATTAATATATGTTTTTATTATTTTTATAAAAAAATATTATTTAAATCACATCTGAAGATTGAACTCTTCAATAAACTTTGTGAATGCTGTCCACGTCTTATGATTGCATTTCAGGTCACTAGTGGTGTTTATATTTGCATATCTAATTTATGGGTTTGGAAAGTTGTTATGTTGATCAAACAATTGATTGATAATCTTTTTAATTATTCCCACTCGGATTTAGGACAAATATTTCCACTGCTACAAAATACTCTCTCTGTTCCTAATAAATGTCTCTTTTCAATTTTTACAAAGATTAAAAAACTCAATAAATATATCTTGATTTTAGAAAAATCATATAAAAATGACTAAAACAACATTTATTATTTAATGATTTATAAGAGAAAATTAATGATTAGAGTTTCATTAATAAGGTTAAAATAGAAAAAACGCATTTAATGCAGTATTGGAAATCTAAAGTGCCAGATAATATGGAACAAAAATATTTAAAAAAAGAGACAGTTATTATGGAACAGAGGGAGTAATATATAAAATGGTTCATATAATACATCAATGAACGGCTTAGAAACGTGTCATTTTGTGGGTTGATATGCCCATATTAAAAACATTAATAAACATTCGTGAATTTTAGATAAAAACATAGAATGTGATTAAAATACCCTTTCTAATAATTTTATTTCCACTAGTTCACTCTCAACTAATAAATAAATAAAAATTGATTTTCTTTTATTAATACTTAAATAGTGACCATGGACCAAGAGGGAAAAAGCCTATGTCACAAAGCTCTAAGTATGGATGCGCGAGCTAATATATTGAGCATGCCTCGACACATGCAAACCTTGGAAAATTAACCACACTATTAATTATTTAATTTGATGATGATTAACATCCAATTAATCTTAATCCTTTACAGCCCCATCCACATGATCCTCGCACGTGCCCTCCATGTGAAACATGGTCCCACTCTCAAGCCTGCAGCTGGTTCCGATTGTTGCTGCTGCTGCTTCTTTTATTTTAATTTTTTCCGGAGATTTTATTTTTATTTTTTATTTTTTTTATTTGTAATTTATTTGTCCTACAATTAAATAAAGCAGGGGAATATATTCCACAGTTCATCTTCTTAATTGAGTGTGCAATAGTTTACGTAGCTCGAAGCACATGGTAAACAGTATGCATTTACAGCCTAATTTTGAGTTTCTCTTGACTTATTTTGTACTTAAAAAATAATTTATTGTTCTTAAATATTGTTTTTAATTCCATCTCTTTCAAGATTGAATAGTGTACTATTCATAGAGTCGTACGTGTCCAACTTTGGACCATCTGATTAATCAGTTCCGTTTCAATTTTGAATTTTGACCATAAAAGGAAACTGACATAATTAATGATTATTGGGCTTTCAATTTATTTATCATATGAAAAAGCCCAACTAATAGGAGAATGGGTAGCCACGATAATTAGGCCCAAATCCTATGTTTTTGGCATTAGGTTTGACTCACCCTTTTCGATTAACATTCACAGTTGACTTTAGATGGAAATTTCTATCTTGAGAAAATAATTTAGATAACTCATATAACATAAGTTCTAAATCACTCATAACAATTCCAAGAAAAAAAAAACTAAGCTTAGAGTAATGGTTATATTCTTCTCAAAAGAAAAAAAAATGGTTATATTTTGTTGTAAAACTAACTCAATCAAACGAATTCAATGTACTCCTATGAATTTGGAATGCTTAATTTCAAGGGACAATTAAATAAAAAAAAACCCTCATGTGTAATTTTATTAATAGCAAAGACACAAGATTTTTTTTAATTGGTTCATCGCTCGTCATTTTTACAAAAAATACCATAATATAAAAGTCATTGAGAATAATGTGGGCACGTTCGTGAACATTGTGGAGCTTGTCTTGTAACCGAAGTTTACTGTCGGAATTAACTCTATTATTTCAGAATTTCGCCGCCAATTGTCAATCAATTTCAAAAGTTCACTGCAAATTTCCACTATTTTTCAAAAGTTCACGGTTAATATCCGGAGATTCACTAACAATTTTAATTTAATTTTTGAAATCTCGTTGCCATATTCTATTACAAGACTCAAAGTTCAAGTTCAATGACAATTTTTAAAAGTTCATTCCCAAATTTTAGTACTTCTTTGGCAAATTTCATAATTTTGCTAGCATAATGTGTTCAAATACTGAATTTCGAATATATTTAGCATGTGACACTAAATTTCAACATTTTCTACTCAACAACTTCTAAACATCGTGCAAACAAATTCAACGTATCTATCACTATGAATTTGAATCCCGTGGGCCGTGATATAATATCAAACCAGCGACAATGTAAGTTAAATATAAATTACAAATTTGGTTCATGCAATAACATTCATATATAGGATAAATAATGAACTAAGGCAAAAGTAGGACCATTTTTAGAACGAGGACCTCGAAGCTGAGTATGCACTCGAAAAAATCAACGTCAGACTTGAAGGTCATAAGTTGGTGACACAGATACAACCGATAGAAACCATCAACGAGGTGAAAAATCTGCAAATCTAGATTTCAACTACAGGATGCTGGTTTACATTGTGCCTAGCCCATTAAATATAAAAGTTAGAAAACAAGGCCCAAAAACAAAGTTCAAGACAAACACATGATGATTATTGGGTTTTCATAACTTCACAATCAATTTTCATTTAATTTTTAAAAGTTCATTGACATATTTTGTTAAGATACCAAAATTTTTAAGTTGACTACTATAGTTTAGAAATTCGTTGCCAAGTCTTAGAATTTGTTTGCCAACTTTCATGATTTTACTACAAATAATGGGTTAAAACACTTAAAGTTTGATAAATACACTTCAAATATATGTAACACGTGACGCTGGATTTCGACATTATCTACTCAATCAACTTTTGAACATCATCGCAACCAAATTCAATGTATCTATCTATCACTACGGATTAAATACTTGAACCAATATCGAATTAGCAATCGATGTAAATTAAATGCAAACTAGAAGTTTGGTTCATACGACAACATTCATATATACGATAAAGAATGAATTAAGGCAGGAGTAGGACCATTTTTAGAACGAGGACCGATATTTTCCCTTCAAATGGTATAAGCTGACAAGACAAGGGACCAAACCTTTATATTGATAAGATTATATAACTCAATGGATAAATCATCGAAAATTGTAGAGCCACAAATTCTTCTTGATGTGCTCAATATTAATTCTCCCCAATCTTCATATTTGGGACTATTGTCAAAATGGTCAGTCCAAGTGGGCAGCAGGAAATTTCAGTCACCAGACTCTGCATTCTTTCATCAATATACAATAATTCAACTGTACGGACAAAATATACCCTTCTTAGATATTTATATAGTGCAATTTGGATTTTTTTTATTTTTTTTTTAACATATGAAAATGCAAAAATGTAATTTCAAATTGTTCTCCACTAATTTATCGGCCCACACGCATGCATACACAAATTAACAAGTGGTGGTATCGACACTATTTTCTTAAAGATAAGTTTACTTCCAAATAAAAGTGAGCACTATCAAGTATATATTGGGGAATACCATGAAAAATAAATAGCGTAAATGAATTAGAGTAATAAATACTGTCTGGATTTATAATATTGTGTAAACATATTAAAATATGCAGTTGAATTTTACTTTTATCGACGATTGAATCAAATATGAACAAATTTTAATCGAGTCAAATGGAGAATTGAGCTGGTAGTTTGATCGTAACAAGCTTTTAAGTATCTTGTAAGCACACATAAATCATAAGGATCTAGAGACAGACGCCTAATAGTTGATAGACCTAAGTAGCCCTTTATACGAATAAAGTTAGATATCCATCAAAATGCAATTTCTTAAACCAAACATAGTTATCCATTAAATGCAAATTATGACTACCCCTAAATGAAGGTTAAATTACAAAAAAAATTCTCATGTTTAGGTAATTACAACCAGCCCATCAACTATGAATTTTCTTACACGTCCACCTTTAAAGTGTCAAATTCAATAGAATCTTTCAAATTTCGGAGAATATCCTCTAGTTTGTTATCATTTTGCGCAAAAATGCGCCAAGAAACATATATCTTATGATCATCTTGTTTCAAAAATGAAAATGTGGAGCTCAAATAGGTAAAACTGGTATAACTTGGAGAATATTCTGTATAACCTAGAAAATTTCACTAAATTCACACCGCAAGAATGAGTGTACATCCAAACATGATGGGTTTTTCATAATTTGACATTGCCTCAGGGGTGGTACTATATTACCCTAAAATATATCATAAATTGCCAAATCAAGTGTCTTTATTAACACTACTCAATATCCAACAAAAGAAATAATAAATTCGTTCTTCCTATAATTCCTAAGTTTGATGTTACAGCCTTCCGAATCAAAACAGAAACTAGAAAACAGCTGTGTCTACGTCGGTACAATTTATACAATCACCCTGTCAAAATCATTTATTCAAAAAAAAAAAAAAAAAAAAAATAAATAAATAAATAAACAAACCAATAGTTCTGTATTATTTATGAAATTTTAAAACTCTTTATGAATTATTTTTGCCCATCATTTTCTTTCTATCGACGAATTATTATTTGAATTCCCACAGTAAATGCCGGCTTGCTTTTTGGAAGTTTTGAAAAAACATTGTAAGCATTTACAATTTAAATAATTTTTGGGCAAGTGAAAAATCGGGTATCTTGAAAAGCTCACCTATGCATAAAATCCAAAACACGAGTAAAGCTCAGAAACAACGTTTTCTTAAAACAAACAAAAATGATTATTAAGGATGCGGTTTCTGGTTGGTAATGGCTATGTGTCACTCACCGCATTCTATAAATTTAAACCAAAAATAAATAAATAAATAAAACCACTCCGCCATTTTCTTCTCACCACCTTCTTTTAGCCATAACTATCACTTATGTATATATTCTTATTATTAATCTCTCTCTGCTAAATCCAAACACAAATGCACAAATCCAATGAAAGATTCCAAGCATAATCACATTAGCAAGAAAACAGATTAGAACTGTACCTCAATCTTTTGTTATATATCTCATACTTCACTGAAAGTTTCTTTGTAATAGAGATATGGAGAATTCCGACAGCAATCGAACGGTGATGCCCGTTTCGTACGAGCCCAACAAACCTGTCTCGGAAAAGGCCACACTTGAAAAAACAGGTTCAGTTCAATACTAAACAGAATTTCACATATATATTTTATATATGATTTCTTGAAAATTTAATTTCTTCTCTTTTTTTTTTTATGCAGAAGAAGAGGTGAATGATTCTCCTATTGAAGAAGTCCGTCTCACCGTACCGATAACAGACGATCGTACGCTCCCCTGTTTGACATTTCGGACATGGATTCTCGGAATAATATCATGTGCAGCTCTTGCATTCTTGAACCAATTCTTCGGTTATCGCCAAAATGCCCTCTCGATTACGTCGGTCTCGGCCCAAATTCTAGTCCTGCCCTTGGGAAAGCTCATGGCTGCATCCCTGCCAACAAAGCAAATAAAATTCCCAGGGACAAAATGGTCATTCTCACTCAATCCAGGTCCGTTCAACTTGAAGGAGCACTGCCTTATCACCATATTCGCAAACGCAGGCTCAACTTCGGTTTACGCAGTGAACATCGTCACCATTATCAAGGCCTTTTACCATCGAAAACTCAACCCTGTACCTGCAATGCTGCTAACACTTAGTACACAGGTCAGTATTACTCTTACTTCCATTAAACTTGTTTATTTTTTTCTCCATGGATATTTTTTTCTAAAAAACAAAAAAAAAACTCCGGTGTAGATGCTCGGGTACGGATGGGCTGGAATCTTCCGGAAGTTTCTAGTCGACTCGCCATACATGTGGTGGCCATCGAATCTTGTTCAAGTTTCCCTCTTCAGAGCACTGCATGAAAACGAAACTAGACGAAAAGGAGGCCTCACAAGGCTCCAGTTCTTCATAGTGGTCCTCATTTCGAGCTTCTCTTATTACATAGTACCAAACTATCTTTTTCCATCGATTACCGCTCTTTCATTCGTTTGCTGGATATGGCGAGATTCTGTTACTGCACAACAATTAGGAGCCGGGGTCCACGGGCTAGGAATCGGCTCCTTCGCGTTCGATTGGTCAACTGTAGCTGGTTTTCTTGGCAGCCCTTTAGCCACACCCGGATTCGCCATAGTCAATATGTTGGTTGGTTTCATATTGGTTCTTTACGTGGTGACACCAATCGCCTATTGGAACAACTTTTACGACGCACGAAAATTTCCCATCTTTTCTTCCCATGTCTTTGATGCTAGCGGGGCACCGTACAATATATCAGCCATACTAAACGAGAAAGCTTTCGATTTTAATCGCGAGGCGTATGATAACTACAGTAAGGTGAATCTCAGCATAATATTCGTGCTGGTCTACGGTTTGAGCTTCGCGACTTTGGCTGCTACGGTATCCCACGTGGCCCTCTTTCATGGAAGGTACTAAAACAAACAGAGACGTTTCGTTTGAATGTTTTAAATTGTAATTAACGGGACTGATTAATCTTGATTCTTGCAGAACAATTTGTAAGCAGATGAAGGCGTCGTTTCAAGACAAGTTTGGAGATGTCCATACTAGGTTGATGAGGAAGAATTACGAACCTGTCCCTCAGTGGTGGTTCCACAGTATTCTGATTTTCGTAATTGCGGTTTCGTTGTTTGCTTGTGAGGGTTTTGGAAGGCAATTGCAGCTTCCTTATTGGGGTGTCCTTTTAGCTATGGCTTTAGCTTTCATTTTCACACTACCTGTCGGTGTTATTACAGCCACCACTAACCAGGTACATACACACACACACACACACACACACACATATATATATATATATATATATATATATCTTCCTTTTCATTCTTGATCTTCTTACACTGATATTTTCTGTTTCTTTCTTCAGCAAGCAGGATTGAACGTAATTTCGGAGATGATCATTGGTTACATGTACCCTGGAAAACCACTAGCAAATATAGTTTTCAAAACCTACGGCACGATAAGCATGTCGCAAGCGATTACGTTTCTTTCGGATTTCAAGCTAGGCCATTACATGAAGATCCCCCCAAAATCCATGTTCCTCGTTCAGGTAATTAAACAAACACCTTGTAGGCAAGCATGTACACTACTACATTATATATTTTTCTCTTGACAACCTAACAAACGTACGATACTTTCTCTACAAAACCCACAGGTCGTGGGAACGGTAGTTTCTTCCCTGGTGTACTTCGGCACGGCATGGTGGCTGCTCACCAGTATAGAATACATCTGCAACCCAGCAAAGCTGCCCGCGGGCAGCCCCTGGACCTGCCCGGGCGACGACGTTTTCTACAACGCATCAATAATCTGGGGTGTGGTGGGCCCGCTCCGTATGTTCGGGAAACTCGGGCTGTACCCTGGCATGAATTACTTCTTTCTATTCGGGCTTTTGGCACCGGTGCCGGTCTGGTACTTTTCGAGAAAGTACCCGGAGAAGAAGTGGATTCGGATGATAAACGCTCCGATTCTGATTTCTGGGGCGGGGGGTTTGCCGCTGGCGAAATCTGTGAACTATATGTGCTGGTTTAGTGTGGGGTTGTTCTTTAATTTGTATGTTTACAAGAGGTTTAAGGGTTGGTGGGCCAGGCATAATTACCTTCTGTCGGCTGGATTGGATGCCGGAGTTGCGTTTATGGCGACACTGTGTTATTTCACTTTGCAGTTTAATGGGATTGATGGGCCGAGTTGGTGGGGTTTGGCGGTGGATGATCACTGCCCGTTGGCCAAGTGCCCCACGGCGCGTGGGATAGTTGTTCATGGATGCCCTGTTGTTCAGTGATTTCTTCTACTGGTTTCCCACTTCACAATTACTACACGCAAATTAAACAAGTAAATGTTGTTTGACGATATTATTATCACTGTAATGAAAAACTGTTACACATATATTTTTGAATAGGAATTATTAGTCGAACAACTTATGGTTCATACATTGAATTGTCCATTCTGCTTGCTCGGAACCTTCTCGAACTTTATTTATTTTCCGCAAATGAAGAACCGAAAATTTGGCGGAGTATCCGAAGCGTTCTCCGGTTGTGATGAGCATCACAATTCAAATGACCAACCAACAACTCAACAAACCATATCCAGCATCCAACCATGCACAATATATGATACTGTGAAAAACGTGCTTAATAATTATCTTGCTCGTTTCTTTATCGTGAAATCTCATGTAATTATCATGACCCCGACCGGTAAATGTGACATGGGAGCAATTTCTTTCAGTGACTTAATTAAAGTCTACACACACACACACACACACCAAATTCCAAGCCATTGCAGATGAACAGATAGAGTCAAAAAGAAAAAAAGAAAAACTATAGTCTCCCTAAAACGATCACCCGTCAGCATTTCAACCGAAGTTCTTTTCCATTATCTACTTTTCTAGTTGGAATTTAGCCACACTCAAGCGTAAAATCGCTAACAAAACAAACACGAATCTAGATCACATAAATATGCATATTCCTCCTTGTATAAACTGGTATACTCTAAAAAGTTGACAACGTGTTCCAGTTTTCTCCACTTAGCTACATAACATCCTAGTGCTTGAAGACGAGTAATATACCTTCAAACTGAAACTACTTCACACAAAGAGGAAAGTTCCGTAATAGCTTTCGATTCGTTCGATCAGCATCATCCAACAACAAGATTCTATTCAAATTCATCATCCACATAGTCCTCGTATTCAGAATCCGACTCTTCAACATTGGGTTTCATTAAGCTATTCATGTCGAACGAAGAATCCGCCTCTCCCTCATCCATTTCAATCGAGTCGTATTTCATCCGCTCCTCAAATTTCTCGTCCGAACAATTCAGAAGCCAAGCAAGAGAGCACTTCAGCCCCTTCTTAGCAATCATCTTATGCCTTGGCCTAACGGTAGACTCGAGCCCGTAAGTGAAGTAGGCTGGGAAAGCCACCAAATCATCCAACGGCCTGCTCATTGCAGATTTGAAGTAATCGAAGCTCTGTTTCATTATATCAACATTTAACGCCAACAACTGAGGACACCCCACAACCATCTTTCTCACTTGCTCTACAGAGAATCCACAGCCCTTTAGTAAATCTACATGCCTCACTATTGCTTTGTCACTTAGGCTGACAATCTGAGGCATTTTCTCTATAACTCTCCCGAATTCTTCGGCACTCAATTCAATGATCGAACCGAGGAATTCCTGTTGGCTGAGCAGCTTCTTTTCCAGGTCAATTCCTATGATTTCTGGATATTGAGCAACCACAGCTGCAAGTGAAGTCTGTCTAACATTATACTCCAAAAGCAATTTCACATTTGGCTTAACCCTATCGTTAAGCCCAAAACCAAGAATGTGCGGCCGCTTCTCGATCAACCTAGCAACAGCTAATGACGGTATACCCAAGCTTCCCAAGTATTCCACAAAGGGTTTGATTATCCGACCCACTCGCATACCCAATATTTCAGGGTATCTTGTTAATACTCCTCCAATCTCACGCCTAGCTACTCCGATTCCGACAAGATAAGCTACCGAAGTACTCATGGTTCCCTCAAGCTTAAACCCCAAAACTTCCGGATACTTCTCGAGCACTCTAGGAATATCGCTAGGCTTAATGTCCATGCCTTGAAGATACTTCACAACAGGAGCAAGGTCAACCACTACACTAGCATGGAGTACCTGAGGATAGCGGCGCAAGAATTCGGTAAAGGTGGATTTTCTGACGCCCAATTTGCCAAGGTAATCAAGAACCGGTACTATATTTTTCTTCACACTGCAGCCAAGGACAAGAGGGTAGTTGTTGATATCCTCAACCGTAAGCCCTAACTTGTGAAGGAACTCCACGCGCTCTCTCATAACATCAACAGTGACAGGAAGCTCTAATCCGTCCAGCTCATCGGGGACAACGCCGATGCCGTTCAAGAATTCGTAAACATGGGCACGGTTAGCAATTCTCTCGTTCTTCATTTGCAGTAAACTGGGGTGAGTGTAGAATGAAGAAGGGCTAACTTCTTTCCTCTCCCTATTAGGTCTGTCTTGCTTGGATGAAGATGTCTCGAAAGTTGTGGATGGACGAGATCGGCTCACGGCAGAGGAATGGAGCTTCATCACCAAAGAACATGGCTTCTTGTACTTACTTGGAGCACATATAGATGGGATAGAAATCAACTGATTTCTGTGGAATGCGAAAGCTGGAAACTCGTAGTGCACGAGCAAAAAACCGGGTTTCGCAACTCCAGCATAGCTTGCAATCTTCATGCCTTTTAACAAATTACTACTGTAATACAATCAAAAGTATCTGCATAAAGATGGGAGCACAATTAACAAATTTCATTCCCCATGCCGCAGGTAATTGTTTCTAAACGAGTTTAATCACACAGAACTACCAATGAAATACAAAGGCAAAGGCTGACAGACTACTGCATAAAAGCCAAATGTATATTTCAAACCAAATTAAGAACAGGAAATATTAAAAATCGAATAGAAAAGAAGCTATATGCCCTAATTAACTGAAATTCGAAGAAGATGCAAAATTGATATGCCAGCATTTCAAGAGTAAATCAAAAGTAAGTAATCAGAAGCGCGTTCAGGGGAAACAAATAATCGGAAGGAAAACAGAGAAGAAAAAAAATACCTAAATCAGCGCAGAAAGCAAGAATGACGAACAAATCTTCTCTCTCTGAACTCCAGAAAGAAAATCGAGAGGTACTGGAAAGGAGGGAGATGAGAGGAAAAGAAGATAGAGAGAGATATTTCGATGAAATTATCGCCAAGGGGTTCTTTTGGGGGTTTAGAGAGAGAAACAAGTTATTATCCAAATATTCTATTAAAATTTACCAGTACTTAATAAAATATTGAAATTTACTTAATATTTTTAATTAACCAACTTAACCATTCATTATACACAGAATTTATGGATTAAAATAAATATAAAAAAAAATTACATGAAAAATCGGACGAACTCAACAGTATTAAGAAGAAGACAAATTGGGAAGAGGAACGCGAAAACATTAGCGGCGGATGAAACGTCCTTCCATCCATAATTACTAACGTGCGCCACCGGGGTACCGCCTACACGGGGATATCCTCCGGCGTTGCGGCGGCGGCCGCCACCACCGCGACCACCTTTTCCTCCGCCACCACCTTTCCCTTCAACTACTGAAAATAGCACAATCACGAGGAGCAACACGAGGACTGTTGTTAGTTTGAGTTTGCCAGAATTCGTCTTCGCGGCTATCATCTTCAAATCATGAGTTCTTCTCGATTTAAAAAAAAAAAAAAAGGATTAATTAGGTATATCAACAAATTACCCCTTTTTTTACGGATCGACTACAATGAATAGGAAATTAGGGATTTCAGATTGTGTAATCTGAATTTTATTTTTTGAATTTTTTATCCTTCTCATTTAGTTTTATGATCCGCAAAAGGGGCCAGTTCTTCTTCTTTTTTCCTTTTCTTTTTCCTTTTTCTTTTATCTTTTTCTTTTCGCCTATTAATAAACAAATAAAATTAGTTGGAAAACACGAAAAAATTAAATAACTATTATAATATGTGGACTCAAGCATTGTCCTATCTTATGAGCTAAGGAAATTCAATAGCTATCTAATAGACTAAGCATGACAATTCATATAGCTCTTATACGTGTCATTCTTATTTGTAATAGTGGATGACTATGCATGTACTAATCCTTGTATAAATACCCCAATATGCAATGAGAATTCAGATCAATTTTCCAGCAACTTATGTGATAAATCACATATTTCATCTCTCTAGATTTCTTATATATATGCATATATCTATTGAGCTATTTAAATAGTTTATTCTATAACACGTTATCAGCACGAGTTTTTGCTCGATAGGGATTTGCTATTTTCGTATTCTTCTTTTTATTTTATTTTACGAAAATCCAGATCCTCGATCTATTGTCGTAAAGACAAACGAGAATGATTAGTGAATACTTCGGTATTTTATACGCTATCATTTCTCAAAGGATATGATGGATTCGTGTATATTAATGTATTGCTTATTTATTTGTTGAATTGCTGCTGAAATTTATATTTGCAAGCTTGTGGATCCCAAGCACTGCTATATGCACGTGCTATATTTAACAGATATGTGGGCCGACTTAGAGGCCAAGATATTAACTCCGAGTATGATGCTCGTCGAGTAAAAGATATAATAATCTCAGTTGAAAGTCGATTTAGAGACTATGAGATTAACTCCGAGCCTGATGCTCGTGGAGTTGGAGAAATAATAATCTCCGTTTAAGGCCGATTTAGAGGCTATCAACTCCGGGCATAGTACCCGTAGAACTTAACAGAGACCGTATAGAGGTCATACTATATAACTCCGAGTCGAAAAACTCGTTGAGTCAAGACATTGGAATTCCCGTCAAGTAAATGAAATTTAGCTCCGAGTCTAAGCTCGTTGAGATGAGAAAGCCGATTTAGAGGCTTAATCTTTAATATCGCTCCTAGCTAGTCTAAACTCGTTGAGACAAGAAAGCCGATTTAGAGGCTAAATATTTAAAATTGCTCCGAGTCTAAACTCGTTGAAGCAAGAAAGCCGATTTAGAGGCTAAATATTTAAAATTGCTCCGAGTCTAAACTCGTTGAAGCAAGAAAGCCGATATAGAGGCTAAATATTTAATATAGCTCCGAGTCTAAACTCGTTGAAGCAAGAAAGCCGATTTAGAGGCTAAATATTTAACATAGCTCCGAGTCTAAACTCGTTGAAGCAAGAAAGCCGATTTAGAGGCTAAATATTTAATATAACTCCGAGTCTCGTTGAAGCAAGAAAGTCGATTTAGAGGCTAAACTGTTCATATAACTCCGAGTCTGAAACTCGTTGAGACAAGAAAGCCGATTTAGAGGCTAAATTACAAATATAACTCCGAGCCTGAAGCTCGTTGAGTCAAGACGTGATAATATCCGTCAAGAGCCGATTTATAGGCCAAATATCTGAATATATCTCCGAGACTGAAGCTCGTTGAGTCAAGACTTGATAATATCCGTCAAAAGCTGATTTAAAGGCCAAATATCTGAATATATCTCCGAGCCTGAAGCTCGTTGAATCAAGACATGATAATATCTGTCAAAAGCCGATTTAAAGGCCAAATATCTGAAAACAACTCCGAGCCTGAAGCTCGTAGAGTCATTAGACGAGGTAAAACCCGTCAAGAGCCAACTTAGAGGCTATTGATCACAAGTCCAAATTTAAAGGGTTTTGGGTTGTTTTGTACCCACTGTTATATAAATCTCTCTTGGAAGGTGTGATTCCCAAGATTGAGTTGTTTTGAATAAACCCACATGTACATATCTCCCTTGGAGGATAAATACCCGAGGTCGAGCTGATTTTTGATTACGCGTACATGATGAAAACATGGACAAATGTGACTATTGCCAACTCGGTAGTGCAACTACACACTCAATATTCAATAATAAAATATATTTCTCGAGTGTGACTTTGTGCAAGGCACAAGTTAAAACCATAGCAGGTTCCGCGGAGATAATAGATGGCTCCGGGAACGCAACAATAGTGTTGCCTAATGGTACCACTTGCATATTGAAAATGCATTGATATCCGGTAGATCAAATAAGAATCTACTGAGTTTTAAAGATGTGAGACGCAATGGGTATCATTTAGAGACACTGGTTGAAAATACCGTGGAGTGTCTATGCGTCACATCATATGTCATGGACAAAAGAATTGTTCATGAGAAGTTTGAAGCGACAGCTTCTGGACTGTATTGTGTCCAAATTCGAGCTTTCGAATCCTACGCCAGTATGCCATGGAAACTTGTTAATCCCGATATACACGGGTTATGGCATGATCGACTGGGTCACCCAGGAACGACTATGATGCGTAGGATTGCCCAACATACTAGGATAAATACCCGAGGTCGAGCTGACTGTGATACGCGTACATGAAAAACATGGCTAAATATGACTATTGCCTACTGAGATAGTGCAATCCATTGAAAAGGTCGGTTATGAATAAATATATTTCTCGAGTGTGAATTCATGGTGATATTTGTGGACCAATACACCCTGCAAGTGGGCCATTTAGATATTTTATGGTTTTGGTGGACGCATCTTGTAGATGGTCCCACGTATGCTTATTATATATGCGAAATATAGCATTTGCGCGTTTGTTGGCACATATTATTGTGCAGCTCTGGGAATAAATGTCGAGCACCCATTAGCATACGTTCACACTCAAAATGGACTCGCGGAATCTCTGATTCAACGCGTCCAAATTATTGCTCGTACTTTGCTGATGAAATCTAAACTCACTAGTGCAGCATGGGGCCATGCAGTATTGCATGCATCAGCACTGATTAAATTACGCCCAACTGCTTATCATATGCATTCCCCAATGCAATTGGCATTAGGCTTTGAGCCCGATATTTCGCACATTCGCACATTTGGTTGCGCTGTGCAAGTGCCAATTCCTCCTCTGAGGAGGACTAAAATGGGTCCCCAACGCCGACTTGGCATATACGTTGGGTTTGATTCACCGTCAATTATTAGGTTCTTGGAACCAATGACGGGTGATTTATTTACCGCTAGATTTGCGGATTATCATTTTGATGAGACATTATTTATACTGATTGGTAAGGATATTCAGAATATCCGTGATAATGATAAATAAAAACCCAATCGAGAATCTCACATGGTGTGAGCAACATTTATCTCATCTTGACCCACGTACCTCTGAATGTGAAAAGGAGATCCATAGAATCATTCATTTACAAAATATTGCCAATAGACTTCCTGATGCATTTAATGATGCCAGTAAAGTCACGAAATCTTATATTCCAGCTGTGAATGTTCCAGCTAGGATCGCTGTTCCTGAAGAACATGCGAAAATGAATGATGATCCCCCACGACAAAAATGGGGTAGACCAATTGGATCAAAGGACGTTGTTCCTAAAAAAAGGAAAAGGGAAAATCGATGAACCCTCGAACCATGTGGTTCCTAGTGAGAATGCTCCAGATGAATTTGTTGAGCCTGATATCGAAAAAACGATATCAAATCTAGGGAATACCGAGAATCCCATAAGTTATTTCAATGAAATATGGGATATAAATGAGATAATCATCGCTAATATTTTTACATTCTCAATTTCTCAATAGATTGTTTACGATGATTATAATAACGAACAACGTTTTGTAATATTGCAGATTATATAATGCAGAGAAGAGTCAGATAAATAAATGGCGGTATACGCTATTGGAATGAGATGAGCCAATATGAAGTACGATTGACGGCCCATCTCAGAAGCTATATATTGCTCAATTTCAGGGGGAGTAATAGTGCGCTGCACTCTTTTTCCCTTATGTCTGGTTTTGTCCCATTGGGTTTTCCAGCAAAGGTTTTTAACGAGGCAGCATATGCACACGGCTTGGATTGAGTTATGCACTCTTTTTCCCTTCTGACCGGTTTTGTCCCACTGGGTTTTCCGGCTTGAGGTTTTTAACGAGGCATATATATATTTTACTCATCCAACTTTTACAGCCGATTGAAACTATAATGCTTCGTCCAAGGGGGAGTATTATAATATGTGGACTCAAGCATTGTCCTATCTTATGAGCTAAGGAAATTCAATAGCTATCTAATAGACTAAGCATGACAATTCATATAGCTCTTATACGTGTCATTCTTATTTGTAATAGTGGATGACTATGCATGTACTAATCCTTGTATAAATACCCCAATATGCAATGAGAATTCAGATCAATTTTCCAGCAACTTATGTGATAAATCACATATTTCATCTCTCTAGATTTCTTATATATATGCATATATCTATTGAGCTATTTAAATAGTTTATTCTATAACAATCTGTTATTTTTTTCCAATTAATCTTCAAATGATACACATTCAACTAATTCCTTCTACATAGCCCACATAAATTGCATAATCACTAACCTAATTAAAAGAGTTTCAATAATCAATTTTAAAACATATTTTTAATATGTACTATTTTAATTAAAGTTTATAAATATTTAAATTTTATGGTATTTTATATGGCAAATTTTAAAAAAGTCAGGATTCTGCCTTTGAACCCCATAAATATTTAGTTTATTATTCTAAGTTTCGGCCCCACAGTAAAAAAATCATGGTTATGCCTCTGGATGAACGCATGGTGTTTTTCGATGGATTGTTCATATTTATAGAAACTAAGACTTCTCCCAACATCTATTTTTCCAACAACTAGTTTCAAACTAATTTTTCCACTAAATTAAGGTCACTTCTTAATAAAGGGCAGTCTTGGTATTTATTTTATTTCTTTCCAAATTTGCCGATGAAATGAGGTGAGGAAGGACGAAATTGAAGTCAAATAGAACCTCAGGGATGAATTTGAAGTTAAATGCAAACCTTGGGGATTATTTTGAATTTTACCCAAAAAAGGGGTAAATGACTCCAATAGACCCAGGTCTTTTCTGTGGTACGGTAGGGCCGGGTTGAAATTAGTGCTTTCTTTTACACTCGAATAATATTGGCTAGGCCCCTAATTAAGTTTAATTAGTTCAAATGGGCCCAAGTGGGCTGAAACTTATAAAATTTGGGCTTTTGGGCTAAGGCCTACAACAAATATCTAACCATTCTAATTAATTAATTGGTTACTCAGAATAATTCTGAAGCCATAATAAACAAATAAATTTACCGAAAAATCTTTAGCACCAATTTTAGGCTGTCACTTTCACCTAGCTTTCACATATTTGTAATTTATATATATATATATATATATATATATATATATATATATATATATATATATATATATATATAGCTCCATATCTAAAAGGCATTGAAAAATCAAAAGTTGACGTCATTCATGAAGTGTCATTGAAGATATTTAAGATGTTATTTCTATGACTTAATTGCACATAGCCCCCCATATGTTTAATTGTTAAATACACCATCGTGTTTAAAAAAAATACCAAAAACCCCCCATATATATATCAACGCCCCTAATCAAATATACATTAAAAACAAATCAAAATCATAAATAAATCATTAATTAAGAAGAAAAATACAATTCATCCGTGAATAACTTTGTAATTCGTTATTGAATCAAGCAAATTCAAATTGAATTAGAAAACTAACTCAAATAATTGCGTTTTCATATTTTGAATTTTGCTAAAATCAGATAACAAAGCAGTCAAAATCACGTTCAAATCCACTTATTTGTATAGCTTCAACTTTTTTTTTTATAGTTGAATTTGACATAATTGGCATATAACCGGAACCAAATAACAATAACTAGGGTTTATGACATGTTATACCTAGTGAATTATCGAGTGATTTTATACCATAAATCTATATAAATAACTACTCATTAAGCACACATAAATATTAATGTGTATATATCAATATATGGTGCAGTAACATCGGTATAATTTTCCCGATAGTAGCATCTACAAAACCCGATAATTGATATCTGAAGTACCTCAACAAATTAATTCAAACAAATCTATCTAGCATGGATCATGCATTATATTGTCTCATTTGTCTTACTCTATTATAAGATCAATTTTCCCCAACTTGTAATTATTCTTGTTAAAGTACAAATCAAAGTGATCTTAATTAATTAATTAATTTTGAATACATTAAACATTTGAACTTTTATTAGTGTGATTACGCATCTATTAATTACTAATATTTTTTTTCTTGACAAAAGAACCAACTTTAGACGTTATCATATATCATAATCAACTATGCTAGTGGCAAAGAAAAGTAATTAACAAAGTCTTAACTCTATCAATAATTGCAAACCCCGTCAAAATTACTCATTTACCCCTACCTTTCTTGGCGAGCAACAGCACACGTCATTTGTATTAATGGATAAGCAACAATCAACCATAGCAAATGCGCCACGTGTCCTTATCTCATTAGCCAGTACCCACCCACTATCACCTCTCCCTAGCCAATATAAACACAACTCCCACTCCACTGGAAAAAAAATATCTTCCTCTCTCTCTCTCTCTACAATGGCTTCTTCTTCGCTCCTTTTCCTTCTCTCTCTAACCTTCCTATCCTCTGTGCTCGCGTCCACCGAGAGTATCCTGGACACAGTCACCGACGATCCCCTGATCCGGCAGGTCGTATCCGACGGCGCCGATGCCGTCGATCAGCTCCTCCACGCCGACCACCACTTCTCGCTGTTCAAAACCAAGTACGGGAAGTCGTACGCCACCCAGGAGGAGCACGACTACAGATTCTCGGTCTTCAAGGCTAACCTGCGCCGATCTAAGCGCCACCAGATCCTCGACCCCTCCGCCGTCCACGGCGTCACCAAGTTCTCAGATTTGACCCCCGAGGAGTTCGAGAAGAGCTACCTGGGCCTCCGCCAGAAGAAACTCAAGCTTCCGGTCGACGAGAACAAGGCGGCGGTTCTGCCGACTGAAGATCTCCCCACGGACTTCGACTGGAGAGATCACGGCGCCGTTACCGCCGTTAAAGATCAGGTATTTTTTTTCTCAGTTGACTTTATTATTTCTTCTTGTGTCACTAGTAGATATGTAGATCGAACATATACAAGCTTAATTGTTAATTAGAATCATAATTTTGTTAATTAATTCTTCAAATGACTTGTTAATCGATTTTTACATATTGAACGTGTTAGACCCTAATTCAAATTAGGGCTCTGTATTTCATATTTTCAATTGAAGGATTAGATATAGGTGAACATATATAATCCTGAAATGAAATATTGTACTTGGAAAACTATTATTGCTATGATATATATATGTGTGTGTATGTATATGTGTGTAGGTATAGATGATGAATTTCTTTGTTTGGTGTGTTGTGATTAGGGTTCTTGCGGGTCGTGTTGGTCGTTCAGCACAACTGGTGCGCTGGAAGGAGCTCACTATCTGGCAACTGGGGAGCTAGCCAGCCTCAGTGAGCAGCAGCTTGTGGATTGTGATCATGAGGTTTGGATTATAATTAATTTTAATTTTTGAAAGTTTTATTTATATACTCGAAGCGAGCGTATGTTTAATGCCTTTTAATTTGGAAACTAATTGAGAAATCATCGATGTAAGATGAACTCGTTAGATTCGTATGATTCGTATTTTCACACTGAGGTTATAATTAATGTTTCTATTATCTGTCAATGCCAAAACATGTGTTGCTCAAATTCAATGTTTTTGGCAGTGTGATCCAGATGAAGCTAACTCGTGTGACGCGGGGTGCAACGGTGGATTAATGAACAACGCCTTTGAGTACACTCTGAAAGCCGGTGGACTTCAGAGAGAGAAAGACTATCCCTACACTGGAAAAGACGGTGTCTGCAAGTTCGACAAAACCAAAGTCGTCGCATCAGTATCAAACTTCAGCGTTGTTTCACTAGACGATAGCCAAATTGCAGCAAATCTGGTTAAGTACGGCCCTCTTGCAGGTATGAGCCAATTTTTTTCAAAGAAACAAAGCTTTTCGTTATAAGTTACTATAGTATAAAAAAAACAAATTCCAATATTGTGGGTTTTTTTTTTCTGACAGTGGGGATTAATGCTGCTTGGATGCAAACATATATCGGCGGTGTTTCTTGCCCATATGTTTGCGGGAAACGGAATTTGGACCACGGTGTTCTGTTAGTTGGCTATGGTGCCGCTGGATATTCGACCATTCGCCTTAAGAACAAGCCTTATTGGATTGTGAAGAACTCTTGGGGAGAAAGCTGGGGAGAGGAAGGGTATTACAAGATTTGCAAGGGTCACAATGTGTGTGGGGTGGAGTCCATGGTCTCTAGTGTGAATGCTATCCACACGACTTCAGCGTAACTCGTCTAAATTGAGTTACCGATTAAATTGTGTACTAAGTTGCAATATGTGTATTGTGTATGCGTAGGCTCGTGTAAATAAGAAACGCCTTCCGATTGTACTTTTACTACTTTTCAGTGCCCGATAGCAGCTCCTTGAAGCTCTTTGGGATTTTATAAACATTCCCGAATTATGTTAACTTTTAATTTTGTTGGATGTGATTATGCGCGTACTTAATTGTTGCATCGTATGCATTTGTAGAAATTGTACCAAAAAGTGTTTGTGCTCGAAGCAGAACTCCTCTCGTGCCCACAACAAATAGGATGTAGGCACATGAAAATAATAAACTCAGATTCAACATATATTACAAAGAAGTATTTTTCGTACATCTGTTATTCAGAGAACCACCCTAAATTTAAAGTAACGCTTAAACTCCAGTGTACTTGAAACTTTTTAGCACTTATAGACCTCTGAATTTTCAAATATTAGCTTATGGCCAATAACAATATTCAAATATATAGATTCGAAGCAATAACAATATTCAAATATTAGCTTATGGCCAAAATATACATAAGCTTTTACACCCTAAACGACGAAAAGTCGTAGAGGGTGAATTTTTAACATAGTCCTATTTGTGGCACTATCCACCCTTGTTTTTTTGTACAAATTCTTAGAAAAATTCCAAAGTTAGATAAAAATATGTAGAAGATTCCTGAAAATTAGAGAAATTACTAGGAAGTTTAATTGCATAAATATTTCGTATTATACTTTTAGAATATTCTGGCAAAGCTCTAGGGATATATTCACAGTCTATGTATCATATCAATTTCTAATGTTCGTTAAGCACATGAAGTAGTATAAATTGTTATAGTTGTTTAATTTGTGTCTATCGAAGAGTTCAAATTATAATCAAATGCATATGTGAAAAAAATAACTATTAAAGTTTACTTTATCAAATATTTTTTGTTAGAAAATATGCAAACATTGGTGCCGAATGACATGAACCGTAAGATATTAGTTAGGGAAATATTATGTAGTGAATTCCGAGTGGACATATTAGATGATTTTATTTTGAGTATGAGTGGCATGTTATCGTGTTCTGTTTCCCAGGTCGTTTGCAATTTCACTCCATAATGCTAAATGGATAATACCGCCGCCTGCTCAGTCTGCTTCGACATAGGGAATGACAATACTCGCACTCTCTGCACAGTTTTTTTAAATCAAAGATGTCAACTTCTGGTGCATTTTGATCTTAATGATGTGCGATGGGTATTAACAGTAGAAGAATTGATAGGGGTGAAATGCGATGGATACTAACAGTAGAAGAATTGATAGAGGTAAGAAAAAGAATTGATAGAGGTGAAAAAAGATACTAACAGTAGAAGAATAACAGTAGAAGAATTAATAGAGGTGAAATGAAGAATTGATAGAGGTGAAATGAGATGGATACTAACAGTAAAAGAATTGATAGAGGTGAAAAAAAGAATTGATAGAGGTGAAAAAAGATACTAATAGTAGAAGAGCTGAAAAAAGTGGATCCATTTTTGGGTTGTTGTTTACTGTTGGGAGTTCCCATTTTGGATTTGGTTCAGCGAAAAAGTGGAAAGTCGAGTGCTATGCGGTCTATTTTAGCTACGAAAGTTTTTACTGAGACCAATTCTTTATCGAATTTTTTTTTTACTTTGATTTTATTCTTTTTTTTTTTTTTAAGTTGCGCTCTAGTTTATCAATTAAAAATACTAATGTTATTAATCAATTATTATTATGTTCAGGATTTTCAAGCTTCAATTTTCAATTTTCTTATAATCTTGTGGCATGCTTCGTGCTCTATTGTTGGCTACCACTCTCATTATCTTCAGGATTTTCAAGCTTCAATTTTCTTATAATCTTGTGGCATGCTTCATACGCTGCTCTATTGTTGGCTACCACTCTCTTGGCTCTATACTTTGCTCTTCCAACGAATTCACCATCCACCATAAATTCGACTTCTCCTGTTTCTTTCCACAAGTCTCTACTTTCGAGTTTCACTTTGTTTTTCTGGCAAATCTCGTATAGCAACGTCACTGGATGTGTGTGTAGAGTTGATGGAGTGATCATAGGCTGCAATAGATTCTTGACGATCTACACAAACGAACACATAAATAAGCCACATAGCATCTTGATCTCATTGTACAACTATAAAAATCATTAATGACTAAACTAATATAATTGCCCCAAGATTTGACAAAATGCTTTTAAGAAAGATTTTCATAAACTTCGAATTGAAGCAGATTTCGAACTTATTCAGATTCGACAAAAGCCTTTTAGGGAAATATTTTCAAAATTTCGGATTTAAGTAGATTTCAAAGTTAGTCCAAATCGAGAGTTTGAACTGTTTTTGGACCCCGTAAACATTTAACTCCGTCTTTTAGCACGTGTCATGTGTATCTTCAACAAAGTCCTCGACTAAAAAACGGACTATAAACTATAAGATTCTCTCTATTCAAGGACAGTCGATACAAATAAAAAATGGACTGATCAATATAATAGATGCATACATTTATTTAATTTATGAGAACTAAGTGAATGAATGACACATAAATTCAAAAGGGTATAAAAGGAAAAACCTTGCAAGTTGTCTCCATGGAGTTGGAATCAATATAAATAGCACCCACCAAAGATTCAACAATATCTGCAAGTGCTTTTGGTGCATTAAGCAGTCCAGACGAATGTATTGGATAATTCAGAATTGCCTCCTCGAATTCTTTAATCTGTTTTATAATAAACAAAAAATATTTAAATTAATTAATTCTACAAAAAGAAAAAAATAATTAAAAAAAGGGCAAATTACGGTCACCCAGTTATATATGGTCAAATTACGAAAACCTCCTCCTCCTCTCAACTATGTAAATTTAGGGATTTTAAATTGGTAAAATCGAACCGAAATTTTGGTACGCTAATATTTCATACTGTTTACCGAATTGAATATACGATTTTGTTCGGTAAATAACCGAATTACATAAATTTTATATAAAAATATTTAAAGTGAGAGGATGTAGGTGTTTTTTCTTAATTCTAATTCGCCCTTAAAAAAATAATAATTCAGATAATTACTTGTCCAGCGAGAAGGGGTTTCTTGTGGCGCAGAAACGTGTGGAGCTTGTACTTGAAAGCCACACGTGCGAGCTTCTCCGTGTCAACGTTTGCGGCTCGGAGCTTGGTGAGTTGACCCGGCGGCAAATCCGGGTACAGCCTGAAATGTTCCTCCGCCATGAAAAAACTGAGAATTGAGTCTCCGATGTACTCGAGTCTCTCGTACGACGTCGTAGAGGTTTTATCCTGGTCCAAGTACGAGTAGTGGGTGAACGCCTGTTGCAGCAAATTAGGGTTTTTGAATTCATATCCGATTATATCCTTGATTTTATCCACCAGATTATCATCCCATGATTGTTTATCCCCCGTTTCATCTTCTTCTCCGTGATTTTCGCTGGCTTTATCCACCAGATTATTCCGGTGATTTTCAAGACGAAGGTCTTCCATGGTTAATGACGATACTTTTTGACTTTTGTGTGTATTGCGGGTGTTTGATATATATATATATATATATATATATATATATATATATATATATATATATATATATATATATATGTGTGTGTGTGACGCGAGTGAATCGACACAAGCAATTTGTTTCCTAGTACAGCAAGATACGGCGGTGAATGGGTGTGTGGAATATTAAATAGGGTTTCAAGTTTCAACATTGATATGGTTAATAATTTATTTAAGAAAAATATATAAATAAATAAATATAAGGACCATGTAAATTGCGAAAAGAACCCTCTTATTTGGGTAATTACAATTACCCCCTCCTTTTAAATATTTTTAACATATAATTTATGTAATTCGGTTATTTACCGAACCAAATCGTATATTCAGTTCAGTAAGCGGAATAAAATGTTGGCGTACCGAGATTTCAGTTAAGTTCTACCGATTTAACACCCCTAATTTTACCTTTGGAGTGTTTTTTCCATACAATAATAAATAGTTGATGGGGGTGGCTGTAATTACCCAAACATAAGGCAAGTTTTCGTAATTTGATCATACCTCAGGGATGACCGTAATTTGCCATAAAATAAAAAAGTTTCATTTTCGAGTAAATTGGCAAACAAGTTCTAATTTAACGAATAATATGGTCTTTTCAATGTATGTAAGAAAAATGTATGCTGATTCTCAATCTAACCACTATGTCAATTTCTTTTCTTATGTTCTTCGTTTTGAATTGGCACGAAATTAGGGTTTACTGTTGCATAGATATGATCCTAGCTACGGTTTCATGATTGAGCAGCGGTTCGATTGATCAACAATTCAATTGGTTACAACAATAACTAATTAATTTAGCAAATTATTATTTATATTATTAAAAATAACGTTTTTCAATTTATAATGTATACATAATTCATTTAGTGTACAGTACTTTGTTATTTAAGAAGAAAAAAAAAATCACACTGTAAATCATATATTTTGCAAGTGTGTTGAAAATAATTAACCACACCAAACATCTCACACACTAATTAATTATCAAAACTCCATAGAAGAAATTATAAGTTAAAAAAATCCAAATTATTCCCAAAAAAAACAACCAGCAAAAACAAAATCCAAAAACCAAAGCAACAAAAACCAAGTCTTTAAAACTCAGAGCTTATCCTCAAAATCAGAGAGTGGAGTCATCTGCTCCTTCAAACCCTTCCTCTTCCTAATATCCGCAACAAGTGTAGCCGCCTGCGAACCGGCTTCCAACGGATCCGAACTCATCGTATCCCAATGGTCGAACACGCACTGAGGGAACGCTTGACCGGAAGTCGCGGCTCTCAGGGTAGCCGAGAAACCAAACGACTCAACCACCGGCAAGTACGCCTTGATGTTGTAAAGCGGCGTACCGGGCCTCTGCATTTCCTCGAACACGTGTCCGCGCTTCTGATTCAGCACGCTGTAGATGCCGCCGAGCGCCTGCTCGGGCGCTTGAATTTCCACGAGATAAACCGGCTCCAAAAGCCTCGGCTTTGCCGTAATCTGCGACGCGTAGATAACCCTCCGGGCGGTCGGGATAACCTGTCCCCCGCCCCTGTGGATGGCGTCGGTGTGTAGAACAACGTCGCAAACCTCGAAGCAGATGCCACGCATGTTCTCTTCGGCCAACGGGCCCTCCTTCGAAGCCCACTGAAAACCGGCAACGACCGAGTCCTTAATCTCGTTCAAGTACTGAACTCCCTTACACATATCGACAACCATATTCGGGCCGGTTGTTTCGGGCCCGAAAGCCCAAATCTTCTTCGCCAGCTCCTTGTCCCAGCCGAACTCCTCCGCGAGGATCTTGGATCGGATCTTCGGGTCGTCTCTCGGGCCGATTCTCCCCTCGTCGATGGCTTCGGCTAGCCCATCCTCCAGAGGCCTCGCCTCCATGTAGAGACGGTTGTGCTTGTTGGGCGACTTACTCATAACCGTACGGCACGACCTGTCGATGACCGTCTCGCGGAAGGAGACGACCGGATCGGATTTTATAATCTCAGCCCCACCCATGTAGTCGTCCACCAAGTCTTTCAGGCAGATCTCGAGGTGCAACTCCCCTGCACCGGCTATAATATGCTCACCGGATTCCTCGATAGTACAAACAACCATGGGATCGGATTTCGATAAACGCTTCAAACCCTCCACAAGCTTCGGCAGGTCCGAAGCCACCTTGCACTGCACGGCCACACGCACGACCGGGGAGACCGAAAACTTCATTGCTCTAATCGGATGCGCGTCCACTTCCTTCTCGTTTGTTAAAGTTGCGTTTTTCGTAATGAACTGATCGAGCCCCACCATAGCTACCGTGTTCCCGCACGGTACGTCTTCGACGGTTTCCTGCCTCTTGCCCATCCAAATAACGGTTCTTTGAACACTCTTGACATATAGGTCCTTCTTTTCGCCGGGGACGTAGTTCGGGCCCATGATTCTGACCTTCTGACCGGTCGAAACCTTCCCGGAGAAAACCCTACCGAAGGCAAAGAACCTTCCCTTGTCGGAAGCCGGAATCATCTTCGACACGTAGAGCATAAGAGGGCCCTCTGGATCGCAGCTCCGGATCGCGCTAGCGTAAACATCGTCGAGCGGGCCCTCGTAAAGATTCTCGACACGGTACTTTTGAGCCGTGGCGGGAGAAGGGAGGTGGAATATCATCATTTCGAGAAGCGCGCTGCTGGCGGGGAGCCACGTCTGCATGACGCGCTTCATCAGGGGCTTGCCCAACAACTCCTTCTCGTCCGACTTCATCGTGACGCCGAGTTTCTGGAGCATCGGCCACAGCTTGTCCTTCTGCTCGTTCATGCACGTGTTGATGATCATCTTGATCGGCTCGTAGCAGAACTGGACGAATCCACGCTTACAGGTGGCGGTTCCCGTGTTCTTGGTGGTCCACTTCTTAGTCGTCGGATCGAAGAAATTCTCGCCCCAAAGTCTCTCCATCATCTTGCTCTCAACCACGCCGAATTTCGAGGCGTACATTTTCGCGAAATTCGTTAGAGTGAACGCCCAGCCGTGCAAGCCGGCGGAGAAGGCAACGGTGCCCTTCTCGGGGTAAACCTGCACATCTCCGAGAAGAGGGTCCTCGTACGTAGCCATGATCACGTTCGCATTCTCGATAACCCTCGAGAACGTCTGGTACGCTTCCTCCCCGTCGACTTGAAGCTCAAGGAAACACCTGTCCATTTTATTAACCGTAAGGACAGGCCGAATTCTTTCTCCGAGAGCTTGTCTCAACACGGTCTCTGTCTGAACACAGACACCTTCGACACAGTCAACAACCACAAGGGCGCCGTCGGTAATACGAAGAGCGGCAGTCACTTCGGACGAAAAGTCAACGTGTCCGGGCGAGTCGATCAGATTGATGAGGTACTCGTTGCCGTCTCTCTGCCCCGCGTAGCCCTTCAGGGACTCGTCGGTCATTTCGTAGTAGAGAGAGATACCGGTCGACTTGATGGTGATGCCGCGCTCGGCTTCGTCTGCTCGCGTGTCGGTCATCCTCACGTCGCCGGCAACTTCTTGCGCAATGATTCCGGCAGCAGCGACGAGTGAATCGGTGAGAGTTGACTTTCCTGTTAAGAGCGGTTACAAGATTAGATTCGTACAAGAAAGTCGATCACGAAACAAAATCGTTGTAATAGAATTAAATAAATAGTATTTACCGTGATCGACATGGGCAATGACGGACATGTTACGAATGTTGTGCTTGTTGTCCATAATCACACGGAGCCGATCAGCTGTGAATTTCACCTACAAATATTGATATAATAAATAACATGTTTTAGATCCAAGAAAATAATCGAAACCGAAAACAAAACCGAGGGTCGATCGATAAACTTACCATCTTGACTGGTTTTTTTGGTCGCTAAAGTGAATCAAATTTTTCCTCCACCAATTACCTGCAATTGACAACATAAAAAAAAAATTAAAATCATAATCATAATATTAGGAAAAACAAATTAAAAAAAACCCTAGATATTCTCATCACCTAATTAGTACTGACAAAGTTGACAGAGTGCACAAAATCAAAATCAAAATCAAAATCCAAATCAAACGAATTAGGGTTTATACGATTTTGTGATGAATAAATAAAATCACCAAATATTTACTGGCTAGCACGTATAAATCTCCTAAAAAATTAAAATCATAATCATTTTTTTAGGAAAAACGAATAAACAAAACCCTAGATATTCTTATCACCTAATTAGTACTCACAAAGTTGACAGAGTGCAGAAAATCAAAATCAAAATCAAAATCAAAATGAAACGAATTAGGGTTTATACGATTTTATGATAAGTAAATAAAAATTATCAAATATTTAACTAGTTTGCATGTATAATTCTCCTAAAGATCAAAACTTTTTTTTATGCAGGTAACGATAATAAAATATAATTCTCTGCAGATCTTATGTTTTCAGATTCCAAAGTTCATATCAATCACGAATTAGGGCACACGATCAGAAAACCCTAGAATCAATAGAAGCCGCCATAACAACGTTAAATAAATCAAAAAAACATACATTGATTATTAAATTAATATATGATGATGTATTTACGCTTCAATTTTATATATATTAATGTAAAATTGAATAAAATAATACAAACCAGAAGATTATAAGATCAGAGAATCGAAGGGTTGAATAAGCAGAAAATACTAACCAGCCACAAACTAGAGTGAGAGAGAGAGACTAAAATAAAGAGGCGGCAGGCTTTATATATATTTATAAAGTCAAGCGTTCCTCCAAACCCTATAAAAGAGAGAATTTGCAGATACATCCCCAGAATATGTACTATTTGTAGAACCTAATCAAACTTTTAAAAGTTTCAAAAAGAATACCCCCTCCATGAGTATACACTAAAATTGGACTGCCGAATTCGGGTTTAATTAACTTTTCTTTTTAGGAATAGTCGTAGATTTTATTAGACAAATCTTGACAACGATAAAGAAAGGGTAAAACCCTCGTTACAGGTGAGATCATTAGTCTTTGCGAGGGCATTAGCTAAACAATTCCCAGAACGTTTTACAAAAGAGAAATCACAAGATTGAAAACAAGGAAACAAGTGAAAGCAATCTTCTAGAAAAACACCAAACGGGGCAGCAGACTTTCTTCCTTCTCGGAGTGATTCCATTATCTGCAAACAGTCACCCTCTACAGTAATTGACGTCCACTCCCCCCACCTCAATCGCATAGTGCATCGCAAGCATTGTAGCGTGAGCCTCTCCCGTCACCGCCGGTGGTCGACCCAGGTGATGTTCGCGTCTCCACCACATGCATGATCCAGTATGGTCCCGAGCTATCATGGCAGTCACATAGTAATCTTGGTTCGGAGGGAAAGCTGCATCAATATTTATTTTTATAGAATCAGCAGCTGGAGGTTTCCACTTTGTTGGATGATCATTTAGCTTGGAAGAGACGGGTAAAAATTTCGCTAGGTTATACACGTCAAGGTAGCTTTTGCTCCATACCACCAGTTCCTTGAAGTCCACTCCCTCTTCACCCTGCATTTCCTTGTTTCGATTATACCAACCTTTCCACATAAACAACAATGGCCAATCCAAGAAGATCTATATCAAGAGACCCTTGCAGCTGTTGCAGCCGCCGGAAAGATAGACGCCTCGAGTCCAGTTAACTGGTTGAACGGTGTCGAATGCCACACCTCATTCATCCTCCCACAATCCCTAACAATATGGAGCAGGGTTTCGGGCTCTGAGCAACGGGGGTAGAAAGGCGGCAGGGGGATTTACGGCGGAAGAGAGCTACCCTCGTCGGCACAATATCCATGCATGCTCTCCATAGGAAATGACAAATCTTTGGTGGAAGGGGAACACTCCATATTTTCTTCCAATTAATGGAAGAAACACCCCTGGTCCCGCAAAATTGGCCCTCACCCTCCCTTGCGTGATAATATTCACTTGACCGAGAATTGGTCATTAGGCGTAAATTGCCAAATCATTAAGTTCTTTGCGTGCATGCTGCCAATGGGTGCATTGAGAATTCGTTGATGGTCAATAGGCCAGAACACTTCCTTAATAAGGCCATGGTTCCATGAACGAGTAATTGGGTTGATAATATCCGAGACACGATATGGGAAAGACGTGTGTATGTGGCGTCTCGTAAACAAGCGTGGTTGACTCCCATCAACACACCAGGGATCTCCCCAAATAGATGTATCTCGCCTATCCCCGATGCGAATTCTAATGCCCTCTTGGAGGTGATGTCGAACCGCCAAAATGCTCATCACGGTCTATCGCCCAAACTTGCCAAAAAGAAAGAGCACGTCGGATAATACCTAGCCTTCATGACCCTAGCCAAGAGCGTGTCTTGTAGCGTAATCAATCGCCAAGCTTATTGAAACAGCTCATATCTCGGAATCCAAGTCCGCAGTCTTTTTTCGACAAACACAGTTTTTGCCAACTCACCCACACCAGTTTCCTCTTCGCCTCAGAACCCCAACAAAACATCTGTATAGCCGATTCAATTTCTTCAAGAAGATTCCGCGGGAGTAAGAAGCAGCTCATCACATATGTAGGAATCGCTTGAAGCACCGCCTTGATCAAAACCTCTTTGCCCGCTCTCGATAGGTGTTTTTTGCCCCACCCTCTAATTTTCTTCCATATCCGGTCTCGCAAATAAATGAAAACCTCATTCCTAGTACGACCCAAATTTGCCGGCATACCCAAATATTTCTCATGTCTATCAACCACTGTAAATCCCAGCACCTGACTCAGCTCCTCCTTAGTATTATTCAGCGTTTTAGGGCTAAATGTCATGGTTGATTTATCAACATTAACCACTTGTCCAGAGGTGCGAGCATACAAATCAAGAATCTGCTTCAATGCCGAGGCGTCTGAGCTGGTAGTTTTGCAGAAGAAAAGAGTGTCATCGGCGAAGCATAAATTCAAGATAATTGGGGCCGAGGGGGCCAACCGTATCCCGTGTAACTCATCATTTTCCACAGGTCTTTGCACCCTGCGATCAACGCCTCCGCGCAACAGATAAATAAGTAAGGAGATAGGGGATCCCCTTGTCGAAGTCCTCTCATCAGGGTCACTGATCCAAACTGAAAACCATTAAATAGAAATGCATATGAGACCGTAGATGTGCACACCAAAATAAGATCAACAAACTCAGTAGGAATCCCGAGTTTAATAAGTATTTTTCTCAAAAAAGTCCATTCAATCCGATCATATGCTTTACTAATGTCAAGTTTAATGGCCATATAGTTTTTACGATTATTAGAAAGGGTCTTAATATAATGATTAATTTCATATGCAACTAGAAAATTATCAGTGATGAGACGATTACAGACAAAGGCCGATTGAGTGGGAGAAATAAGGTCAGGCAAAATGGGTTTAAGACGATTCCCAATAACTTTCGACCCAAACTTATAGATCACATTGCACAAACTTATGGGTCGATAATCAGAAATTTTATCGGGATTCTTAACTTTAGGAATTAAAACAAGAGTAAAAAGCAGTTTGCCCCCTAAACTATGGGCCGATTTGCACTTTACCCCCCAAACAAAAAAAAATTGCACGTTTTTACCTGAACTCGTTAATTCGTTGCACGGTGCCCCCTGAACTCCATTTTCCGGCAATTTTGTCTGAAAAGTTGAAACATGTGCCTTGCACGTGACATTTGCAGGGTATATTCGTCTATTCACTTACATCTTGTATATTAAATATAAATTAATCTTTAAAAAAACAAAAAAAGAAATAAAAACAAAAAAAACAAAAAACTAAAAAAGAGAAAAATATATTGAGTCTTCTTCTTCCCTTCGCCCTTCGGAAGAGACGACCCAATCTCCAAAACCTCGTCTTTGTTATTCACCTTGTTTTTAATATCCAGATGCATCGGCTTCTTTCGCCCTAGGTTTCGTCTCGAATTTGTGAGAAGGTCGATCGGAATTTGTGGAATAAACCCCATTCCTTGGATTATCGAAGGGCGAATTCTTCGGATGATGATTTCTCCGGGGCTCAATTGTGGAAGCTTTACCCTTACCTGAAGGCTCCGGCGGCGAAGCGAAATCAGGGCTGGGGAAGTGCCGTACACGATTACCGCCAGCACTAATTGGCGAGGATTTCAAAAACCCTCCGACTTGATACGATTTGGATGATTCTCCGCCGGTTGGAGACTTCTTTCTCAACTAATCCGAAGACTTGCGCGGCGGCGGCGGCGACGCCGCAGCAGTCGAATCTCGCAGCGGAGAATGATACCGAGGTTGTGTCGACGAGACGGAGTCCCGGAAAGGAGACTGGCGAACAGGAGAAGCGGAGGAAGGGTAGGTCTCCTCGACGGAGATTTGACGGAGCGGGGGCGGCGGTGGGGGTGGCCGCCGCTGGATTGACCGTCCTTGTTCCACCGGAGATGCTGCAGGGTAAAATTGTGCAGCGTTTGAGATTTTGCAGGAAAGGGGGACGCCATAGCAGTAAAACCAACCAAAACGGCACCGATCGATTTCAGATAAAACCGTCACCGGTTAATTCCACCGGATTCACAAAGTTATAGCCTCTGCAACAATTACAAACCATTCTTCCCCGACAAGTGTTTTGTGCTCGATTTTGGCTATTCCACGACCCAAGCAATTGCCGAAGTAATTCCATCGGAGAATTTTGGAATTTTTTTAAATTAGTGTTTGAGATTTTTTTTGCAGGCATGAATTGGATTTTTGGGAAGAAGATGGGTGATGGTGTGATGGGTTTTTGGGAAGAAGGTCGGTGATGGTCTGATGGATTTTTGGGAAGGAGCCTGGGTGATGGTCGGATGGATGACAGCTTTTTTTTCTCTTTTTTTTTTCTTTTTTCTTTTTTTTTTTTAATATTTATTTGCATTTATTATTAAAAATACAAGTGAATGGACGAATTTACCCCTCAAAATATCACGTGCAAAGCACATGTTTTAACATTCCGGTCAAAATTGCCGGAAAATTGAGTTTAGGGGGGCACCGTGCAACGAATTAACGAGTTCAGGTAAAAACGTGCAAATTTTTTTTGTTTGGGGGGTAAAGTGCAAATCGGCCCATAGTTTAGGGGGCAAACTGCTTTTTACTCTTAAAACAATATAGGTGAAGTTCATAGACGATGGCAAAGTTTTATGATTAAGGAATTCCAGCTCACAAGATAACACGCTAGTACCAAGAATATGCCAATACTTGGAATAAAAAATGACAGGTAACCCATCACGACCGAGAGATTTAAGGGATGCCATTTGAGTGATGGCATTGGTTACCTCGGATTCAGAAAATGGAAGAGTTAACCTATGAGCGGCCTCAGCGGAGATCCGGGGATCAATACCTTGCAACATCTCATCTATCTTATTATCGTTTGGATCAGTAGTCTTGAAAATGTGCTCAAAATAATTCGAAATAACATGCTCAATCTCCTCTGGTCGATCTCTCCATATACCGGCACTATCTTTGATTTTATGGATGATTTTATGGACCATGTTAATCTTCTTCCGAATCGTAGCTTTAGCATGAAAGAAGCTTGTATTCCTATCTCCCTCGCGAATCCATTGAACTCTACTCCGTTGACGCCAATATATATCATTCTCCACGTAAAGCTTTTCCAATTCACCATGCAGCTCCTTCATTTTAATTTTGTTATCCTCAGTAATCGTGCCGGAGCGAATGGTTTTAAGTTGTTTCGTAAGCTCTGCGATGCGCCGTTGGGGCTGTTTCACGGTTGCGTTACTCCAAGATATGAGTGCCAACTTGCACTCCTCAGTTTTGGTGATAATATCATCGACGGGGTTGATTGCTGCCTGGCCCGCCCAATGCTGGTCAATAAGGGCTTCGCAGTCATCTCACTGTATCCATGAAGCTTCAAAGCGGAGAGGCCTTCGCCGTCTGCCTCTCAAAGGGTCTGGGGTAGGACAATGCAATAACATGATCGGGCAGTGATCGGATCCTAGGTAGTCGAGGTGGGAGACTTGTGCATGGGGTTACATAGTAATCCAATCCAGAGTGGCGCACACTCTATCAAGGCGACATCGAATAGTGTCAGGATATTGCCTATTGTTCGACCAAGTAAAATGATCTCTCGTAAAACCGATATCACTAAGAGCACACTCTTTCATAGCCTCCCTAAACGCTCGGATGCTTGATGGCAGTTGTGGAGGACCGCCCTCATTCTCCGTATTGTCAAGAATTTCGTTAAAATCACCCCCGACCATCCACGGTAAATCATTGTGGTCCCGGGGTGTCAGAGGAGATTCCATGACTTGTGCCTTTGGGATTGGTCCGCAAAACTGTCAAATTCGGTAAACCGCCATTTCGCCTCCTTCTCCTTTGCATGAACTTTAACGTCAATATGATTAGGAGAAAAACTAAGAAGATCAACATTCATATCTTTCTTCCACAATAATGTTAGGCCTCCCGATTGTCCAATACTATCCACCGCCATACCGAACAAATTCCATTTTCGTTTTAAGTGTTCAATTCTTTGGGCTGAAGCTTTGGTTTCAGAATGAAACACAAGATCGGGGTGAAATTTTCGGAGGATTTCTCCAAGGACGTGAATTGTCAAAGGCTCCGCATATTAGAGTAGGTGACCAATAAGCCAACATGTGGCTGTGGTCTTTCGTATTTATTATGGTAATAAACGAACCTTTATTCGTATTAATGATAAACACCTTGGCATTCTATATCTTTGTCCCTTTGTCATAAGCATAGATATAGTCCTTACAGTTATTACAAGTACTAGTAATTGATCGTTAGGATCGTGAGGTATTTACTTAAGTATTATAACTGTTAAACGTGTTCCTAGTCGAAGGGTTACGCCACCAATGAGGATATCAGCCTTTCCCATTAAGAGACTAGCACTTAGTGTATGTGTACTGCATCTCATCAGTAAACGGTATTGTGATATCGGCATGCATAAGTGGGTGCTCGTAAGTTGACGAGTTCACTGAACTCCCTCACCCTAGAAATCTCTAAGTAGTTCCCAATAATCGAGTAGAGATATCTATGGTATAGTTGTACACCATTAGTCCTTATGACCTAGACATCACCGTGACTTCACTAGAGGACCAGCTGTATCGTGACCTGTCCCTGAGTTCCACCGAGGACCATCCCAAGGGCCAGTGTTCGTGCAGTCCGAAATCTAGTGGGAGGTCTGTGCATTGTAGTCGGGGATTCGATCGCTAGAATAGTCTTGGATGTCCTGTGTGTTCTGATAGTTTGTAATCATCTAAGTCTCTGGCCAGAGCTGACTAAGTGATGATTAGAGAATTCGATTCTCTAAGTCATGCACGTAACGATTACAACACTTAGAACAATTGCACCGTCATTGAACAAATAAAGAGGTCTCGACGAACCAATGCCGCTAGTTCAATCGGGACATATGTATCGAAGGGACCGTACTGTACGTTAACTATATCTGAAGGTTCTTGCAGGCACTTCATTTGTATCTAGGGAATCATGACGCGTAGTTGCTAGACGCCAATCTTGATTCGTTGGGTAATTAAGGTGAAACGAGCTTCGCCTTAATCGTAACTCTAAGGGACGATTTTTTACCATAAAGGGTTGTGGGCCCACGGCTAGCTTACACCTGAACCATCGAGGGTCACACTGCTCGTGCACATGAGATCTTTGAATAAACGATCAGAGATAAAATGGTTTATCTCTGCATGATTGCAAGTCAATATGATTGGGTCCAACATTCGTAATTTGGAATTATGAATGAGAATAAGAAAAGGAAAAGAACATGCAAACGTATTAGTGAACTTTCTAAATCGGGAAGTTTCCAAATTTAGAAAGTGCACTGAATTGGGGTTTCCACTTTTGGAAAGTTGGAAATCGAGAGTTGGCACTCATAATGACGAGGACATTATAATGATTCCGAAAATGTAATCGTTACAATTTTCCGATCATTGAATTGAGAGAGACGAGCATGTAAAAGAACTAACGAACTTAAGTTGTTGGGCCCGGTCCAACTTAAGTCCGTTAGGGTTTTATGCAAGAGACTATAAATACTTGATTTATAGGTCTTGCACACAACACAACACACGAACTAAACCCTAGCCGCTCTCACCTCTCTCGGCCGATCTCAACCCGCGGCCACCACCGCCGCTGTCGCCACCATCTCGCCGGAATCGGCCATCCGTTGGCCGATCCTTTTGGTATTTCTTTTCTTGTTTCTGTTCTTCCATTTTTCTAACTATTACGTATCTAGTGCCATGTATTTAGTAGATCGAAGTATACGGGATGAAATCCGAGAGGAGGAAGATCGAAGAATCGAAGATGCGAGAAGGCAATTCTGAAAAACTGCTCTCGGATTTTCTGCGCTGTCCAGCGAGAAAATTCTCCATAAATCAACCAGTAATCGGATGGACGTGAAATTTTGATAGAAGTTTCATGACTCATACATCTACAATCGACCAGAAGGAATTGTCCATACAGTAAATAAGCATGGAGATATTGAAGTCGGAGCAAGGCTGTAATTTCAGATCAGCAAGTAGGTTGGATCAATAGGAGTGGGAAGAGCAGCTGGCCATCTTCTCGAGTCTTCGTTCGATTCACGCTTCAAGGACAACACGTGAGTCACACGCGCCGCCGCAGCTCGTCTTGCCGCTGCTGCCGTTCCGCCGCTGCTGCCCCGGGTTGCACGGATTAGTTTCCGTGGCAACCTAGCTTTGCTTAGTGCGCCTACCTCACGCTTCAAGAGGTAAATTCACGAATCTTTTGTAGTTAGATTCGGTTACGTTTAAATTGAATACATATGTTCGTTCTTGTATGATTTTGTGTGATTACATGAAATGTTGCAAGCATGATTATTTGATTTAAACGCGAGCATGCTAGTTGATTTAATTTCGAATAAGTAATTAAGCATGTATGTTGTTTTTAATTTCGCTGGAATCGCAAATGTACGCAATTAATTGATTTTGATTATCGGGCATGTGTTTATGTGTTTTAAATTTGTTTAAATCGCATAAAAATTTTGTTTTCCGCTGCGTACACGTGTCCGATTCCCAACACCGCAGTCTCCGCCGTTGAACTATATTCTTCATCCTGAAGTATGAGCTGTTGTTTTTTGCCACTCCGCTGATTTTCTGTCATCGTGGTGTCATCTCTCTTCTTTTTCCTGTTTGCATTTGGTACAAACACCATCTTCCTCTGTGTAGTGCCCTTAATGTCCTCAGACGCCAAAAGACTTCATTGATAACTAGATTGGTTTCGTCAACAAAAGCCATACTCATATTTTCCTTCCCTCTTCTACCGCTGCGTTGAGCTTGGTCGTTGTTCGAATATGAGCGAAAATAAAAAACATTCCCTCCTCTAACCGAGTTCCTAACCCCGCCTCCGCCACTCTCCATAGATCGAGGGTTCATTGCCTGCAAGGGTAATTTAGGATGTCCAACCTCATTACCCAATGATGCTCGAAGCCACACTCCATGTGGAAGATCCTCCCCAGGGTCCGCAAAACCATCATCATAGCGAAGAGGGCATTTATTTTTTCCATGTCCAATAATACTGTAGAGAAAGCGAAAATTTGGGAGACGTTCGTAGGTAAAATACACCCATTGCTTGGATCCGTCGGCCTTGTGAATGTAAATACCTCTTTTAAGATGGTGCGATACATCCATAACCACCTTAACTCTCGCAAATTGAGCCATCGGAAATTGCTTTTGGTTCAATACTTCAAATGCCTCCCCAACCTTATTCCCGATCTGCATAGCCATGTCAGTGCTCTTCTGGCGGTGTGGGATCTGGTGGATGCTAAGAATCATCATTATTTTGTTAACCTCCATGGTAGTTGGGTCATCGTCAGATGGGATTTCTTGGAACAAGAGGGCTTGTTTGTCGAGTAGCCCAGGGCAGCTCCCTAAAGCGTGTTTATAGTCCAACACCTGATTGAATATGATAGTAAACCTATTTATCCCAATGGACTGAATCTCATCCCCTTTCACCGGCTGAAGGAGCCTGATAGTGTTGGCCTTAAGGGTGTGTTGAGAGTACTCTTTAATTGCCGCCACTCATCCCACCAATCTCATATCATGGACTCGATCTACGGGATGGTCCTGTGCAACCTGGATAGTGATGCCTTCTTCTTACTCCAATGTCAAACAAAACTTCTTAACCAGAGATGCGGTGATATTTTCCATAAGATAAGCATCAGTGAAATAGATGAGATGAGCAACGTAGTGTATGGGATTCCAGTGAGCTGCTCAAGTTAGGAACGAGAAAAGAGGATCTGAAAAACAAAAGAAGAGATGCAAGAAAGAAAATAGGGAAAAAACTAGGCAAGTAACGTAAAAACTAAACCAGTATCTAAGAAACCCTGGTTAGCCGTCAAAACCTACAACCACAAACAACCCTAGTAAATGATGCGATCGGAGATTCTGGATAATAATGGAGAAAAACAAAACAGTAATGCCGAGAATCGAAGAACTTGATCTTGGAACGAAGAATCCTCTCATGACTAGAGAAAAACGCCTCTCATAGGGAGAGAAAAAAAATCTATTTTTTTGTGTATAAAATTGTTAGAGAATTAGTTAAGAAACTAATTAATTCCGGGTTTAATTAACTTAAGACGTATGATTTTCAATATTTTAATTCCCTAAAAAAAATTATTTTATATGTAAGGTAATTCGTATTATTTTCAAATAAGTCCTCAATTAATTTGTACAATTCACGTTTGGACATTATTTAGCTATTATGCCTCGTTTGGTTGGAGAGTTAGTCGTAGGGGTGTAAACGAGCCGAGCCGACTTGTGAGCTCGAAGAGCCGGCTCGTAAAAAGCTCGAACTCGGACTCGAGATTTTCGAGCTCGAGCTCGAGCTCGAGCTCGAGCTCGCGAGCTCGAGCTTTCTGACAAGCCGAGCTCGAGCCGGTTTTCAGTTGTTCATGAGCTCGCGAGCCGGCTCGCGAGCCGGATTTATTATTATTTTTTTATTATTTTTTTATTTTTTATATGTTATTTTTATTTAAATAATGTATAATAATGTAAAATATTATAGAAATAAATACAAATATTAAAAATATATATAATTACAATTTAGTTTTTATTTATTATTTTTTAAAATAATTTTTAATAATAAAATTTATAATTAAAAAAATATTTATAAAAAAAAAAAAAAAAAAAGACAATGGGCTCGAGCTCGACAAAATTGACACGAGCTCGAGCTCGAGCCAAAAAAAGAGGAGCTCGACGAGCTCGAGCTCGAGCTCGAGCCAGCCAAAAGAGGCGAGCTCGGCTCGAGCTCGGCTCGTTTACAC